GGGCCATGCACTCAAATATTGGATAGAGCTTCTACTATCCGATAGGATCCAGATAGGGTCTAGCAGCGAATCCTCTTCAATTGTGTGCAGCCCTGCCTCAATAGCAAGAAGCTCCGATCAGAAAACAGAACAAGAATCCGGGTTTCTCATTTTAATGTTGATATCACCATCAGGTCTCTTGATGTAGACCCCACTTCCAGTACGACTGCGGTCGTCCCTGCTACCGTCTGTATAAACGCAGAGGCCCTCCTCTGGGATGTTGTTAATTATTTCTAGAGCCAGTTGTTGTAGCAATTCGGGAAAGTCTGAATTTTTATTTGTGCTTAATGCCAAATCCGGACTGAAGTGTACTCTTGGAAGCCCACGTGAGGGGTCAAAGCAAGTCTTAAGGGAATGTTGCTCGACATCCTGGTAGACTGTATTTAGGGAAATTGCACGTGAAAAAGGGCTATCTCTTTTTTCTTGTAGATGGAGCAATAATGTGAACATTAAATTTCACATGAAATTTTATCTTGCATAGTTGCGTTGTAAAACATTATTATATAAAATTTTTTATTGTAATCGAAGAACTTTTTATCGTCCCATCTTAAGGTCAGAATCTGTTAGTATTTTCGTTTTTTCTTAATTTTAAGCCTGGTCTGTGACTGTTTGTCCGATTATAAAAGTCATTCCGTTTGTTTGGTGCTGTTAGCCTTTCAACTTTCTAATAAGTATTAAAGAAAATCATGTACAATAAAATATTACATATAATATTTAAAAAATTGTTAAATGTTTTCAATGATTTACATGAATAGTGGTTTAAACAATGCAGGAAAAAATTCCAGGAATGCTTATCAAACAGCCATTAAATATATTTTTAATGACTTTTTGTTTACTTCACACTCAATAGCTTTGATATTATATTTTCCGTAAAAAAGCGAAAAAATTAAATGTTTATTTGTAATTGATTGATCAGTTTTGATTTGAAAATCGGTAAGATGATTTAAAAATTCTTTAAGATAGAATTTACCATAATAATTTGAAAAAATACGCATCAATGTGTGTATCAGATATTTAAGAGGCGTATTTAAGACTTAATCCATAGAAAATCGAACACTTGAATTTCAGGAAGCTGAAGTAAAACAATTGTTACTTACCAAGGAGAAAAGTTACTTATCTTCATTTCAATAGATAATGGTAGGGCATAAGTGTTTTGGAATTCACGAAATCCTTGCATAATTGAAATGACAATGATAACTGTATGAAGAATTATGGTACTTTTTTCAAGAAGTACTTTAATATAGGCTTAATCTACCGAAAATTCAATATACTATGTGTTCAAAATGTTACACTACATGAAGTTTTTCATCATTTATGAGCAGATTTTTCTAAAAATGTTTTGAAGATGACTCAACTGAGATAAAACTGAAATAAGCCGCAACAGTTTTTGTCGTGAGAATAATCAACATTTTCCTTCTATTACAAACTAATAAAACTAGTGTAAAAATAAGATTTCAATGAATCTTATTTTAATGAAAAACAGTTTTAAATTAAAATTATTTCGCAAAACATGAATACCTAGAAAATAAATTAAAAAATAAATCAATTTGATAAAAAATAAATGTCATAACCATTAAATAAAATTACACACTTGTAGTGATCCATTAAAAAGGTGTATTTTATAACCATAAAAGTTTCATAATCTGTGTTTTAGGCTACTTTGCTAACAATTATTGCTTAGTTGTGTGATATTGTTAATGGCAAATTATCTTCTTTTACCTCTTTTGTTTTACCCATTACTAACTTAGGCATTTTTAATTTATTATATTCCATTTTAATCCATTAAGTTCACCGCTTTTTGCGAGCTATAAGCTAATTCTTTCATCTTGATATCCTCCAGTTTATGCTTTGAATGCTTCCGTTTGTTTACATTTTCTAAATGTAAACAGATGGAATTGTCAGTTAAAAAAAATTCCGGTAAATTCTCTCGAGAAATTTCTTAAGTTTGCCTCTAAATAGAAAAGTGATTTATCTAGTGTTAATAGAAAATTTATATAAAGTGATTAATAGAAAAGTTTGTTTATAAATAGTTAGGCTTATGTAAAAAAGAAAAGAGAATAGAAATGAAAAGCATCAATGTCTTTTGTTGTTAATTTCGTACATTCTCTTCAAATTGTTTCAATCGATATAGGTCATGATATCAGAATAATGAATTTTATTTAAAAACATTTAGGTTAATATATTATTCAGTAAATTAGATATCATTTTTCTCATTAAAAAATTATCCGTTTTTAAAAATTAAATTAGTATAAAAAGAGTGATTGCTTAATTTTTCTTATAAACATTCTATTTACAAATAAACACGAATATGAAACAAAATTTTTGTTTTTAAAGTATAGATTTTTACCTTATCTTTCTCTTAAGACAAATACTCTACCATTGAATAACTTTTTTTTTATAGAATATTGCAGACTATTTCCATTTTTAAAAAGTATTCACTTTAATGTTTTCAAGCAAATCCAAATAATTTCAATTTATAAATAAATTAGTAATTTTTTGAAATTTCTTGAGCTATAACTTTTTTAAAATCACATTTTATTTATCTTGAATACGTTAAAAGTTGAAAAGTAGAATACTTTTATGCAGTTTATATTTACAGTATATTTAAAAATTATACAAATGTCAGAAAACATTTCAGTGAATACTTAGATGGTATTTACAACAGAAAAAGACATAAACAAATAGTTTTTGTACCACAAATGTCACAATTATATAAGTTTTAAAAACATATAAATGCATTTCAAATACTCTTAATAGATAACATTCAATTAAAACAGGAATACATACATTTTCACAGTGATGTAAATGTTATGGAAAAAATAAAAATAGAAACAGATTATAGTATTTTAGTCATTTTTAAATAAAAATATAAAATATTTCCCTCTCAACAGCTAATCTGTAAATATTATAAAACAAATTTAAATTTAAAACATGTTCAAACTATAGTTTTTACAAATTAAAATTAAGTTTTTAAAAAATAGACAAATTAAATAAATGTGTTTTTAAGCTCGAAAATTTATCATGAAATTACAATTTCCTGTTTATCGAAGCTGCATATGCTTTAGAATGAGGAAATATTCTACACTTCACGATTTTGCTCCTGTGTAGATAGTAATAATTTTATGATTATATTCTGATTATATCTAAGTAACAAAATTTACCATTTAATTTTAATTAATAGATTATGAAAATTAAATTAAGCAAAGCACATTTCAATTAAATATTTTCTTAAAATTTAAAAAATAAATAAATAAAAAAATAATACAATAAAAGATAGCAGGAAATTAACATAACTCATTTATATTGATAATTGTAGTTTTTGAAGTAAATTTTTTGTTTCACGCATTTAAGAAATTCAAAATTATTGTATTTAAGTCCTTCACAAAAATAAAAGCAAAAAGATAAGAAATAAAATAAAAATACAAATTAAAACATACTGAATTATTTTTTAAGACAATGCTCTGGAATTATTGGATATAATTTATAATTGGATTTTTTATATTAAAAAATTATATAATTTGCACGAGTTTTTTAAATTGTGTAATTTACATAAGCTATGTAAGTTATATAAATATAATTTACGTAAATGATGTAATTTGCGTAAATAATGCAAACATACGTAAATTACGTAATTTTTTAAAAAATACCTTTAATTGTATTTGAGTTATTGCAGATATATTGCGATTTTTTAATGCTATTTTCATGTATATCAATATAAATTTAGAACTTGATGCATAATCTTAAGTAAAAATTATTTTTAAAAATTGAAATGAAGGAACATATAAAATATTTTTAGTAAAAATATAATGAATATCCAAAATTTTAAACTGAGATTTTTTTTCTCAAACTTATTTAAAGTCAAATGTTTCAATTTTGAAATTGCAGAAACGTAACAATGGTTTATATTTTATTCTACTAAACATGATAATATAAAAAAATAATCAAATGAAAAAAAAAGTTCTAAAATATGGATAAGTAAAAATTCTACTAATTTTTAACCAGTTATTGATTTCAATCTTTAAAGTGGAATTTACACTCGTTACAATAATTTATTATTTCTAATACATAGTTACGTAATTTAATATAAAAATACTTTAAGATACAAGGTGTACCATAATGACTGCCCTTAATAAATATTTTTGGAATCCTCATCAGAAATTAAGTAAGAAAACCTAATCATAAATAAATACTTAAGTGAGAAAAACATAGAACTGTTTTTTAAATGGAACGAATTCCTACAGAGGAAAAGGGAACTGAAATTATAACCTGTTTGATTACCACAGGAAATAAAGATGAGTTGAAAGACTTCAAATTCATCAGATAAAGAAAAGGTCTTGGTGCTTTAATTCCCAGCATCTTCAAGAGTGATTTGTTAATTTCAATAGTGTTTTTTTAATGTCTTAATGTACTATAATATACTTCCTTTTATTGATAAGGAATCTAAAAAAACATATGTTAAGTGGGGTCATTACGTAGCATATTGTATAGTTATTAAGAAATTGTTTGCCGTGGTGGCTTAGGAGATTGAGCGTTCGCCTTCCAATTAGGTACACCAGTTTCAAATTCCAGCAATGGCTGGTCGATACGAATTCGGCACCCGGCTCGCACCGACAGCAGTGCTGACGTAAAAAGGCTCTTAGTGGTAGATGGATCATGGGTTAGAGTCTTCGTGCAGTCAAGATAACCGTGGGAGGTTATCGGGGTTTTCCTCTCCATGTAAAGCAAATTCGGGTTAGTTCCCTCAAAAAGCTCTGCATGAAGGCGAATTTCTCCCAATACTTGACCCAGGAGTTCCCTTGTTTTCTGGATTGGGCTCAAAATTACAAGGCTACGGAATTGAACATTAGTAATAGTTAACTGAAAATTCTGTCTGCTGTTTTACGACGGTTAAAATATTAATAAACCTCTACATTTAGAATAAATTCTAAAATAATAATAGTTAATATAGAAATTAAACTTACCAGGACGATTACAAAATCAAGCCAACACCATGCGTTTGTAAAATACTTTCTAAAACCGAGAGCTATCCATTTTATTATCATCTCGATGAAAAATAGGACGGTAAATACTTTGTCCATGTATGTAAGAAATGCTTGCAACATTGGCCTTTTCCCGATGTTTACGTCTTCAGCTGCCTGTAAGTTTAGTAGTAAATATTGATTAAAATAATCATATTCCAACGAAAAGGAAAAAAATGACTTTAACTTTGAATACATTTTTAGATTTACGAGTAATAATTTATATATATGTATAAGAGTATCCAATAATAATCTTCAAAAATATTAAGAGTTTGCATTGTTAAAATAATTCAGGTTTACAGGTGTAAAAGGAATTCTTATACCACTGTAACTATTATTAAACTATAACCAGCAACTGTTAAAAATGGCAGAGATGACGTTCTAAAGTTTTTGTTATAATGTTATACAATTAGATCAAATATCAGAATTGCTAGAAATGTTTAAGAAAAATGCAAGAAAGAAACCAAACCTAAATCTCTGTCCCTTCATCTTCATTCCAATTGTTGACTGAGCTTGTTACGCAGAGCCGAATGCAGACACGTTAAAAACTTATAGAATATGTACTTTTCTAATTCATCTATACCAAGTGATGCCATTTTTCATGAAAAAAATATTGTTTCGATTTCATTTTAAATTTTTTACTGATATCTCGTTTTGATGAAAAAAATAGGTGTTGCCATTTGATTTTTTTATAACTGTTACCGTTCGATAGTCGTTTACTACTCTTTTCTTAAGCATATACCTTATAACAAATTTATATAAAATTTTATTTCATTTTCTTGACCAGTATTCTCAATATGGGCAACCATAAGTCTGCAAAGCTATTTTACAATCACCCTGCTTTTTTTTTTAAAATTGCAACTATCTTAAATTTTTTTTTTCAATTTAAAGTAGTAGTATATTATATTTAAAATGAATCGAATGAAGTTAAAACAGAGTTAAAACAAAGAAGAATGCACAGTAATGACAAAATGAAGTTAAAACAAAGGAAAATTACAGACATATGAAAAAAGGGGAGGAAAAGAAAAATAATTATAAAAAAATAACAAGCAACTGGAAAAAAAGAAGATAAATGTTTTTTAAAAAATCCGGAAAATAAAGGATATAATCTTTTATCAGCCCACACGATTATATCCGCAAAAAAGAGTGCTTTCTGATATTGTATCAATATAGCCAAAGCAAAATATATCAATACAATAGTGTGAGGAGCACTCAAAAAAGTTTTTTTTTTTACAAAAATTGCAACAAATGAAATGGAACACAATAAGTAAAAATAACACGTAAAAACAGAAAATAGAATAAAATAAAAAGAAAAAACAAAATAAAACCTAATCTATAAAGCGAGTAGCGAATTCAAATGTACTTACATGAAAGGGAAATTTTTCAAGAATGATTTAAAAAATATTTTCGTAACAAGATTGCCAGATTGCAAAATATGAATACAAAAGCGCAAATTGAGCGTAACTAGAGCAGTTTTGTTTCTCTTATTGTTTTTCTTAATTTTCTTCGTGTTTTTTGCATTTATTTATTTTGCTGTATATATATATATATACATATATATATATTATATATGATGNTATCAAATCTAGAAAGAAGTTATTAAATTCCTCTCTTTATTTTTATAAATCCGAATTTTGTATTGTTAAAAATGTCATCAATTCTAAAAGATTTTAACATGATATATATATATATATATATATATATATATATATTGACATTTATGAAGCACTATACTTACGAGGGCCAAACTACTTATCATAATCATAGTAATGATTATGGTTTCGAAATATTTATCTTCTATAAGAATGAACATTTTCCCTCGTAATTCCTTCCATTGAGACCAGAATTCAGGATGTGCTTCTTCCGCACAGCAAGCGATTTTTGTATAACAAGTATCTGGACAGCAATCTGCCGGGTACTCGGCAATAATGACATCAGCGGTATTAGTTTCCAGCTTGTCGTCGTCAACGTCACCTTCTGTTTGAGGAGCGATGTCTGTCCCAGCCATCACATCTAAACAATACATAAATGAACGACATTAATCTTAATTACACAAAAAAATGAGTACTGCATTCAGGGTGATAAAATTTTTTTTATTGAGATGTAAGAACCATTTTTAAATAGATGGGACTGTTTAGTAGTTGACCATCAATTTGAAATATTAATTTAATTAAAAAAACAAAAAGGAAAAAAGAAACTTATTAATCTCTGTGTTCTTCTTAGAGAACGAGTTAATTCATATTCAAGAAGTTTCAAAAGTAGTAACAAAGTTAGTACATTACTGAAAGAAGACCCAAGAAGTTTCAAAATTAGTAGCAAAGTTCGTAAATTAGTAAAAGAAGGCTCAAGAAGTTTTAAAATTAATAAAAAATATAGTAAATTAGTGAAAGAAGACCTCTCTAACTGAGGAAACTAACTATAAAACATTATTTTCTGTCACATGTGAGAAAATTTTAAATCAAATACATAAACTGGCATCAGTTAATTTTGTTCTGAGATTGAGCTACAGTTGATTGCTTCAAATAAGGGTACGTTTGCAAACATTTTTCAATATTTTCATTTGGATTGCAGCTCCCTCTTAGGGTGAAATTTGTAAGTAATTTTGAATCATTGTATGAATAAATGATCTTGTTACCCAAGCAGGAAGCAGTAAAACGTATCTTTCGATATCATTCCGTTTTTGTATCATTGATTTCTCAGATCATTGGTTTATTTTGGGATGCGTGCTAAAATAATTGAGTTGAAATGCATTAGATTAAATAAAATATTTACAGTCTAAAGGTGTAAGAAAAAAATGTTAATTTACCGTCTCCGAGATCTTCTTTGCTGGCGTCTTTCTTTTCGTCATCGGTAGTATCATTTGGAGAAGAAGAGTGACGACTGGACGGTTTCTCTGTAATTACCTCTTTCTCCTTGTTGTTACTCAGATTGTCCTCATCCTTTTGCGGATGTATTTTGTTCCCAAACACTTCCTTCTCCTGCAAAAACAACTTCTGTTAATCGGTTAGATGAAAGCGCAGAAGTTAAATATCACAATAACACACAAATATACAGAAATAAATTAGAAACAATTCATGCAATTCATAATTTATAAAAGTTGTCCAAATAGCTTTGGGAAAAGTCACGTAATAGCTTCGGAAATAAAGTAGCAATCACTATCTTCTTGGGTTATAAATAAAGCCACCATTAATTGCATATAACTGAGCAATCAGCTCGTACGAAAATGTAAAGTCTACAAAGATGGATGCAATCAGGACAATAAAACGAGTAGTAAAACGATTTTAAGAGGCAGAACGCGAGTGTAATGCATTCATTTCTTGCCAAATGTTTCCTGTTTACGACGAACACTGTCCAGGAACCGTCTGCAAGCAAATGATGTCAAAGTTTTTGCGAAAGGCGTACATCAGTGTTAGATTTGCCAACACTCAGGGTAAGAAAACATGCTAATCTCACAAGAATTTGATCAGATGCTAGTTCAGTTTTTAATGCTCTGGATCGGTTTTGAAGATTCCACCTCCTACCTCTCTTTAAACCACAAATGGTGGCTGTGGTATCATTATTGAGATTCTTTTTCACTTCTTGCAAGAGCTTCTTCAGCTCTTGCAAGACCTTGTTAATCTTGAGAAATTGCTTTAAATGATCCCAAGAGTCTACTTTTTATTTGGACAACTTTTATACCAGTTAAACAATTGAAGCGCTTATAATAATAATAAAAAAATATAGCAATTCTTAACTAACCTCGAATTTCGAGATAAATATATGAAAGAAGACTAAGAATGAGTTCGTTTTCATTTCAGGCAAAATTTGAAGGTCGAATATGACATATTCGACCTTTATATTCACCAGAACACATGAGAGCATTTTGACATAGTTCAATCCATTTAATACTTCAGCATGGGGAATAGTAGTCGGCAAATACATATTATTAAATATTTGAAATCGGTAATGATCCGTTGTTTCTAATTTGAGCGCCTCTCCTCATTGATTTCATATTATTTTTAATATCTATAATCAATAATAATATGTATTTATTTTGAGGGGAATGTTACTGCGATTATTTAAAAAATAAGCTTTTCCAGAGAATAAAATCAAAGAATGATATATATTTTTACATTAATCTAAATTTTCCGAACTACAGTTTAATGAAGATACCAAGAAGCTAATGTGGGTATGGCTATTCATAAAGTAAAACTCTTTTATAATATGACTGGTTTAACAACTTTACTTTTCATCTGTTTTTCCTTTACATTTAGCAAGTATACATTTAGCTAGCTATTATATTTGTATTTTTCTATTGCACAAATAAATTTGAAGAATCCACGATGGTATTATAAACAAAAAATAAGCCTTAAAATTGGGAATTTTGTCGCTTAATTGCAGGACCTGATTTTTCATAAGGCCTGAGAGATTCCGATGTTATGGTCTCCGCATATCTGGGACCTTCCTAAATATTACAAATTTTTGTTTGTGTGTTTTACCTTAATTGTCCAGTCTAAATATAAGTTAACAAAAATTGAAATAAATATAGGATCCCATTTATAAACATATTATAAATTACTTATGTTATAAAAGGTTTAAAAGCATTTTGTTGATGAAAAACATGTATTTGAGGATCAATCCTCATTTTTCTATGCCTAGGGTCCCTGGAATTTTAAATCATGCCTTATTTAATTGGTATCATAAGCTGTAACTAAAAAACTATAATCACAAAGCTTAAATGAAAGCAAAGAATTAAAAAAATATCAGCAAAACAAAAATTTCTTATGTACAAGGAATTTTAAGGATATGAAATTAACTATAGATAGATTCTGTAAATTGCTTTAAGAAAATAGGTTAATATTAATTTTTGCAGTATGAAAATACTGTTTTGAAAAAAAAATCATTTAAAATTTACGTAAATTTCCCCCCCATCTATTTACGTACTATTACAAAATTCGCAGCATTCCTGTCATTTTATTGCAACGTGATTTTAATGTAATGTAGAACTCAAATCAGAATTTCAATCGCAAAAATTACTGTGTGTACTTAGTGAAAAAAATAGCGTCTAAACAACACTAACAATTAAATACTATGCGTACTTTGTTCCATTTTTCTTTTCAGTCTCAGCCAAATAGTCAAGATAGATAGATCAGTTGTGAAAATCTCACAGCAGTATTTTCATTAAAGAAAACATAGTGATAAATTTCAAGCATTATTTACCTTTATTTAGAAGGAAACTCGATTTTCGCTTGTGTAATGTATCAATAATTATTTGAGTGTATTGGTAATTTTCAAGAACAGTTTACAGGAATTTTATAATAATTTTTTTGAATTATGTTAATGGCAACGGGCAAGACAGGACGATTGTCAGGTCAATTAAAAAGAAAAATAACTTTCAAATTTCTGAAATACTTTTTTGAAAACTTTTAAAAATTTACAATTTTACAGAAACTTTTGCTCCCAGTTTTAATACTTGGGGGACCGGAAAGTAATGTAGTTTCGGTGCATGTGATCAGGATTTTATTTTTAATCAATAATGTATTAACTATCGTTAGCAGCAACCTTTCAATGTTGGATCGAAAATGAATATAAATAAATCGATGAAGAAATGAATTGGTTTTTAAGACTGACGAATATTTAATGCACCGAAACGACATTACTTTCCGGTCTCCCCAATATCAATATTTGTACTCTTAATTATTAATGCTACATTTCAGTTATTACTCTCACTTATTGATGTTTTTAAGTGTTAAGGGAAAGTTCATTTATAGTTCTTCTAATAAACTTTTTGGCTGAGCATAGGAATAGGCACGCTAGTTGATTACTAGCCTGAATGTGATAAAAACTAGCTGTTAAGCCAATCACGCCATATACTGGCTGTTAAGCCAATCACGCCATCACGGCAACAGTATAGCCATATACTGTTAGAAAATTTAGAATGTGTTGAATTTTTACAACAACATTTACTGTAAAATCACTGTAATTAAATAAATTACTGTACGAATTGCGGTGTAAAATTTTAGGGTGAAATAGATTATACGGGTGCTACACTCAATGTGAAAGTACCTTTTACCGTAATATGATATGGAATTTTTTACAGTATAGTAAATTTGAACAATATTGTGGTTTAAATTTTTTTTTTTTAAAATAAGAGGGATATTGCATAGAGTTTATCTTACGTTAATTTAACGCTAACCTTATTTTCAGTCTTTTTCTCGCGGCACTACAATTTTTAGGGAAATTTTAGTGAACTGTAACTCTCGAATGTTTCTTTCAATATTTCGCACTCTGTTTGTATAGTAGTGGAATAAAAATAATAAAAACCATTCACTTCTCCATTAAAGGAAGTTCTGACGAATCTGAGAATGAGATTTTATGTCCAAGGGTTAATTAGTATCTATTTAATGAGAATTTGAATTCAATAAGTAACTCATCGTTTTACTTTTTTTAAACAATAGTTTAATTAATTTTGTTCTGGATTTTAAAGCCAATTATTTTATTGCTACAGCGAAATTTATCGACACTTCTTTTCTGAAGAAAATAATTTTTTGTAGAACACACCATTAAGTTCCAGTTCTTCTTACATTTATTATTAAAACACATTGTTATTTCAGTTTTATTTATATTTCAATGTGAATTTGGTTTTTATACGCATACCCATTGAAGGAATGTAGTTTGTCTAAAGTAAGAACTCCCCTAGCCATTCGCATGGACTCGTGGCGGTGATTATGGTAACGAGGTATAACTATTTAAAGTAGGGGTGTGGGGTCACTGTTTAGAACAGGGTATGGCTCACGTCGGTGGGAGAAAGGGATTCTATTGGGTTAGCTCTAGAGTGAAGAGAAGCTACCTTCCCTGAAATGAGCTAGTCTTGTTTCCATAGCAGCACACGGGCTCAGTGTGCCGGGGGGAGTTCTTACCGTAAACAAACTATACTACATTGTTAACTAGTAAGCTTCTTACCATTTCTTTGTTGTCTTTTGGTTGAACTTTATCTCCCATTCTCACTGAATTAACCATCGAATTGCTCTTATTTTTTATTTTTATTGCTTTTCCATCTTCTGCAAAGAAAAATAAATTGAAATGGAAATGACTGAAAACTAATTTAAATGCTGTTAAAAATCATTTGGTGATAACGGATTTAAAATTCGATACCTGAAATAATAATATTTATGTTACTGTGATAAGTTAATGTGTGTTATCAGTTATTATTCACCGTTGAATATAGGCATTTACATATTCACTTGGTGTATGTCCGAAATATTATCTATCATTCTTACACAGGAAAAAGTTGACTTGTGGTAAATACTAAATAAAAACATTTTTCTGATTTTAAAACAAAAATTCAACTTTTTTCAAGAATTATTTTAATTTCAGAATGCATTGCAATTATTGCCAAAAAAAGCGCAAACTTAGTATTAATAACAAACGGTTGACGTTATATAAGGAGAAAAAAATTCTGGCAAAATTACGATACAACATAGTAATGACATTTCTGGCAAAAAACTCCACATAATTCTGGTTAATAAAACAAAAATATACGGTCTTAAACCATTCGTTTAGTAATTGTTCAGTTCGTTTTGGTAACGATTTATTGGAAATTCTGGTTTTCAAAATTATAGCTCTTGTTATCGCACATTTAGCAAGATAAATTTAACCAAAATAAATTTAACCAAATAAGTAAATTTAACCAAACTAAAAAGTAAATTTAACCAAATAAATGGTTTTTATGTAATAGCCTGAAGTATTACAAATTTTACCATTTTTACTGCCAAACAGCATAATAATAAAACAATCGCTTATTGCTAATTTTGCAAAAATAATTTTCAAACCATTTTGATAAAAATTATCGATCTCTTTGATGTTCTCATTGAGGCAGAAATATGCTAAATTTTATCATATTATGGTAGTTTTGACCATATTTTAGATAAATAGTGTTCATTATTTATTCAAAAATCATTCATTTCGAAAAATGCTTCTTTTTTATCATATTCTTATAGTTTGAAGAACATGTTGAAATACTAAACAATTGTTAGCTTTTGCTAAACGTCATACGTTAGCTTATGAATTTTAAGATGGGTTTTGTGACATTAGTGTTACTTAAAAATTATCTCACAAAAAAAAATTTATATATATATATGGNTATATATATATATAAATAAAGAAATAAAGAAAAAACCCAGGGTACAGTATACTTTGGTATACTATTGAATTCGTGGTTATTAATAAAGTTAACAGAATATGCTACGAACCTTGATAACCTAGTTCATAACCGTCGAGAGCGATTTCTAGTTCTGTTTTTTCTTTAGGACTTTTCTTTTCTTTACTTGGCACTTGCCCGTCAACCATGAGGGAGGGTGGCATGTCTTCACCATCGCCACTTTCCGTGTGGTCGGAAATTTGATTCGTTACTTTGGCTCGTAAACCCTAAAGGGTGACAAAACAATGCTCAAATTAATAAATTAAATAAATTTCATAGACTAATATGCACCCTAATAATATACAGTTAGTTAAAAAATAATAATATTCATTTTAATAGTGGAGTTAACAATGGTCTAAGATAGTGATTTTAAATTGAATGTAAATTTGATATTTTTTATGTTTCTTTCACAAGTTACATTATTTCACGTCCATATTCCATTTCTGAGCAATGAAATATTTAATTGCTAAAATTTTCGTTGTTTTTATATCTTTGCAGAAGATAATAATTTAAAACTTATTATTTGCAGAGATAAACCTGAGCTATAAGCTCATGTAGAATAAAAGTATGCGACGCTAAAGAGCACATTTTATTACATTTCCTTTGTTTTGTTCTCTTCACAAATTTTTTTTAAATCTAGGATTCCAGAGTATAGCACTGAAGATATGTATCTCTCATAAAAAGTGATGAGCTCAAAACTGGTAATAACAAAAATTCAAAAATGTAACGCAATACGAACTAAGATTTAATTGAATTTTAAAGATAGTCTTGATAGCCTGACTGAAAATTAGAAAATCATGAAATTATTATATGAGTTTTTAAATTTATACCACAGGAAAGAAGCATGAATAAATATTTTATTTTTTTACACTCTAAAAACTTCCACCACTAGATAAGGGTCAATAACGGTAAAATGTGTAACAGTTACAAACCGTAAAAATGTTGCCTTTTAATGGCCACATGACCATAAAATATAGGTCTGCCCGTAAATTTTTTCTTGTAAAACGTTAAGCTCGTAAAGATTATTTTCAGTGTCGGCTTTAACGTTGCTTGAGACTAAGAATTTTTGTATGTGGAATAAGGGTGAACCGTGGAAAGGAGGATAATAGTGCTGCCATCTGTTAAGTAGAAATAGAATTGTGTGCTCGTTTACCGTGGCCACAAATGTAGCGGGAGGCTGCAATCAAACCAAAAGACTTTGTGTTCGCTGCCTGATGCGGAAACCACCATGAAAACTCTCATACGCACGTGTACAATACCAAATAGAGATAGAAAGCTTTGCATAATAGCTATAAAAATCAAAAGTCAATTCTACTTCTTTTAAAGTTGGTTGACATTATTGGCACAAGGTTTTTGTGGCCAAAAAGTGAGCTGGCTACATTAAGTAATGGTGTCTCCACTTACTTTGATGAAGTTCTTCAAAATTACGGGTACTAGCCTTTTTTCCCTAAAAGAAGGACGCTGGTCGCGCAAATTAATAACCAACTATTCCTATCTTTTGGAATTATTTTTAGAGTGTATCTTTAAATAGAAAATCTAGCTATATTCACATTCCTAAATTTAATGTGTCTAATGTATTATCATAGATCAGTTCTACTGGCTTCAGTAATTTTATAAGATTTAATTCTTACACTAAAGCATAATATTAAAAAAAGTGGATTTTAATATTTTTCTTTGGGTAAAATATGATTAAAAAACCTATTACTTTCTTATCTTGGTACATAAGTAACTTTGTTTTTAATACGTCGAAAATGTTTATTAATTTACATTTTAAATGCTTACTTTTAAAAGTCCTAATAACTTGTTCTTAACCCATCTTTTTGCTCGACCAATCCGATTGAAGGCTTCTGCTATCCCCTTTGTATCGTCTCCGGCAGGAGCTTGGGATAAGTTTGAGGCACCGAATGAAGACAGTAAAAGAGCAAGAAAAAGATTCAGCACCTGTTCATCGAAAAACAAAATATATTGTTCATATGAAACTTGTGGCGTGGCTTTTTTTTAAATTCAATCTTTATTTTTCACAAAACGTTAAAAAAAAGTCCTTATTTTCTCTTTATTTTTCGCAAAATGCGAAAAAAGTCCTTATTTCTTCTTGTCCTTCACAAAACGTAAAAAAGTCCTTATTTCCTCTTTATTTCACAAAAAATTAAAGAAAAATTCTTATTTCCTCTTTAGTTTTTGTGAAAAAAGTCTCTTTATATTTTTCTCAAACGTAAGAAAAAGTTTTTACTTACACTTTGTTTTAATGATTAAACTTACTAAATTGCGTTATTACGTATATTTAAGATTTCAATTTGATTAATTCGAATGAACTACAACATCGATTGCAAATGTTGCATTTTTTATATAAGTCGTATAAAAGTATTTTGAATCTTTGTCAAGAATAAAGTCGAAAACATAAACACATGAGGGGAAGCAAATAAGCATTAACGGGAGGAAGAAACAAAAACGATATTGTAATCTGAGGAATCATTATTGCGGAAGGTGAGACTAAAAACATTAAAATCAGTTTGATTGTAGTAGGAAACGGATGATTATTCGAAACACCTTTGAGTTTCATCAGGTAACCAAAATTAATTTAAAATTTTCAGTTCCACCTTTTTCGCTTGTAAATCGGTATTATTTTTGTCCCTTTCTTGATTAAATATTAATTTACGACCAATATATTGTTTACGTTTTTGGCATAATTTTTGACACAAATTCTAAATATTTAAATTAAGTTAGCTCATAACAGATCCTCCTAAATATATATATATATAAACTAAAATTTTTTTTGATAGATTCGGATTCAAAGTCTTTTAAAATAAATATTATATGCAAATAGGGAATCGTTGCCTCTATATTTAGTCAATAGACATGTCAAATAATTTGATTAATCCATACCTTGACTGTTTATTGTAAAAATGGAAAGTTGTTTCGTGCAAAATAATGAAATTAATTTAACTCAAAGATAATTTCATAGATTTCAAAAGTAATAATGTAGCTTATAGTTATAATTTTATTGCCTTTAAAAGTGACTGTTTGTTTAGTACAAAGGTAAATAGCTATCTAAGAAACAATTTATTCTAAATATTACGTATTGATTAAGAAGTACATAATTTAATTAATTAAAATATGACTCGAAATGAGCACTCCCTTTGGGAGATCAATCTTTGATGGAACTAATTTAGCATTATTTTCCAGACTTCCGATTAATAGTTTTTCTGAGTCTTTCGACTTAGAACAATGTAACATCAGCGAATTATTTGTATTTGCACAGTTTTTTTGATTTTTGAATGATTATTCATTAAATTTTGTTCCTAAACTTTGCCAAATGGTTACTACAAAACGTGGTATATTCGAAAACTTCATTTTTTATGCTCTTTCTAAGCTAGCAGCGATATCTTTCGGCGAAATTCTTAAGAAATTTAAAATTAGGTGCGAATAAATTATTTACACTCGTAAGCAGAACTTAGAAAACCATGCGCATCTATTTCTTTTTATTTTACTTTAATTGATGCTTGCAAGTATCGGTCAATTAAGACACCTAGTACTCTGTAAAAAATTCCATATCAAAATACGGTACAAAGTACCAACACTCAGGTCGCCAGTACTTTTTACCGTAAAATTTCCCATAACAAAAAATAAGTAAATAAAATAAAATAAATAAATAAAATGATATACAGAAATATTTATTGAATCACTATATCCAAATAAATATTATTGTAAAAACTGAAGTACAAATTTTACGGTAAAAAGGATTTTACGGACGCTGTACTCAGAATGCCAGTATTTTTTTACCGTTATACAATTAGAAATTTTTTACAGAGCAGTAGAACACAATAATGCTATTTCCCCCCTATTAGTAATGTATACCATAAAAACAGGCAAAATGATCGGTCGTTTTGTTTTATTTCAAGCTAAAAATTCAATTGAAGTCAAATTTTGGTATATACATCAAGTTTCTCATTTAAAAATTACTTGAAAATATTGATAAAGTTCTTCTTTTTATAGATATAAAAAAGGTACGAAAAATGGACTATTTTATAAATATAATTTGTGAAAGGGATTGGATAATAAATACTCACCACTAAATTACCTATAACAACAGTGGCTAGGAAGAAAGGAACACAAGGCCACCCGGAAACGACCATGCAGTCCCACATAGATTCAATCCACTCGCCACAGAGGACGCGGAATACAATCATGAAGGAGTGCATGAAGTCAGTGAAATTCCATCTCGGAACTTCATGATCATGAAATCTAATAATTGAAAAGGAACATTTAAACTTTTTTATACACACGAAAAATATCAATTGAAAATTAAAAATTATTTTTCAGGGAAAAAAACTATGAATTGAAAATGATAAATTACTTTTTGATGGAAAAATTAAACAATTGAAAATGATAAATTACTTTTTGATGGAAAAACTAAACAATTAAAAATGATAAATTACTTGGAAAAACTAACAATTGAAAATGATAAATTACTTTTTGATGGAAAAACTAAACAATTGAAAATGATAAATTACCTTTTGAAGGAAAAACTAAGTGGTTGAAAATGATAAATTACTTTTTGAAGTAAAAACTAAACAATTAAAAGTGTCAAATTATTTTTTTGATGAAAACTTTTAATTGAAAATGATTAATAATTGATTGTAATTATTTATTAGAAAAACCCTGAATTGAAAATTACTGATTACATTTTTTGATAAAAAAAATGCTAACTGAAAAGTATGGTATATTATTGAATAAAAAAACTAACTGTTGTTTTTGAAAAGAAAAATATCAAGTTATATAAGTTTTACAAGAGAATAATTTAAAAAAAGTGACATTTTCATTTATATTTAATAATTCATTTGCATTTTATGTAATATGTGCACCAGAATTTTTTTTCTAAAAGTATATGTTGAAATTCTGTGATTATTCAATTGTCATGTGAATGGTCATGTAAAATTTTAAACATACGTGAACTTAGTAATTGGTTTATGATTAAGATCAGAAAAAAAAATTAAAGCACATCCAAATTACGTATGTATTGTTTTTTAAGTGAAAAAGTCTAATCGTGATATCCAGCAGAACTCATTAAAAACTCAAATTAGCCACACGAAGAAAAAAAAATCTGGCAAAATTACGCCAATGGCTCCTGATCGTATGGTAACGACATTTGTAGTTAAAAATAAATAAAATATCTGGTAATAAAACCGAAATATACGGTATTTAAAATATTCATTTGTAATTTTTCAGTTTGTTATGATAACGGTTTATTGGAAATTCCGGTTTTCAAAATTATACCTCTTATTATCGCATATTTAGCAAAATTACCAAACTTAAAAGTGAATTTAACCAAATAAGGGGTTTTTATGCCATATTCAGGGTATTACAAACTTTACCATATTTACAACCAAACAGCTTGATAATAAAACCATATTTCATTTCTAATTTTACCAAAATCATTTTCAAAGTATTTCGGTAAAAATTACCGTAATTTTTTGGTGTTCCCAGAGAAACGGAAATACGATAAAGTTTACGATATTTGGCCAGTTTTGAACACATTTTTTCTCTCATTGAAGTTTAATGATAATTCATAAGCGAGAAAATTATTATAATTTTTGAGAAATAAAAATAAACTTATTCATTACCAATAGCATCTTTAACAGCTAGCATTTTTAAAATTGTCACTTTTCTTAAAAAATTAAATATTTTTTGTCCCTTAATTATAATATTGAATATGAGTATACAATGCAATCTTCTTAATTTTTCACGTGTCAATTGGGTACAGTGTGAATTTAAAAATAGTTTTGAATTTCCAAATATATTTTAAACTTTTTTAGAAAATTGAAAATGAAACTTTTTTTTTAATTTTTTAAAGTGGAATTCCAATGGTGCATGATAACATAAGTTATTGGCATAATATCATAAAATTAATACATAATTAATGATTTTTATGCTTTTTGTTGCCGTATTAAGATGAAATTCACCAAAGTATGTTACTTTGCTGAATTTAAAAAAAACTAATGATTGTCTTAGAAAACTAAAATATTTAAGTTTTACAAGATAAAATACATTGGAAAAAATATATTAATTATTGATTATATTATTGATTATATTATTTGATAAATTTTTTAATTATATTGATTATATTAAAAGTAAATTGCAATACAGCAAAATATTGTTAGTTCAAAGTAAACACTTAATTATAAACAGATAATATGGCTGTAGAATTTGATTATTTTGATTATTTGATGTAAAATTTGAGTCATTTAATTATATTCAGTAGTGTTTCTTAAACGTTGGAAAACACAGTTTTGCGAAAAATCATCAATAAATTAAATTTCATGAAACTAAAACCATATTTGAAATTTTACGTATTAGTTAAAGCTTTGCCTTTTTACCTTGAGAAAAAAAGTATGCTTTAAAGTACAAGAATTTGGTTAAATTTATCGTGTTCCTGGTTCAATAGGAACATCAAAAAGCTTGGTAATTTTTACTAAAGCTCTATGTTGATGATTTTTGTTAAATTTATCGTGTTCCTGGTTCAATAGGNAAGGAGTGCATGAAGTCAGTGAAATTCCACCTCGGAACTTCATGATCATGAAATCTAATAATTGAAAAGAAACATTTACATTTTTTTATACGCACGAAAAATATCAATTGAAAATTATAAATTATTTTTCTGGGCAAAAAACTATCAATTGAAAATGATAAATTACTTTTTGAATTAAAAACTAAACAGTTGAAAGTGTTAAATTATTTTTTTGATGAAAACTTTTAATTGAAAATGATTAATAATTGATTGTAATGATTTATTGGAAAAACCATGAATTGAAAATTTTCGATAAAATAGATAATATGGCTGTAGAATTTGATTATTTTGACTATTTGATGCAAAATTTGACAGTAGTGTTTCTTAAACGTTGCAAAACACAGTTTTGAGAAAAATCATCAATAAATTAAATTTCATAAAACTAAAAGCATATTTGAAATTTAACGTATTAGTTTAAGTTCTGTCTTTTTACTTTGAGAAAAAAAGTAAGCTTGAAACTACAAGAATTTGGTTGAATTTATTATGTTCCTGGCTCAATGGGAACATCAAAAAGCTCGGTAATTTTTATTAAAGCTCTAAGTTAATGATTTTTTGTTAAATTAACTATAAAAAATAGTGTTATAATATGTATTAAAATTTGGTAAATGTTTTTAATTTGGTAAATTTCTTTCCATGTAATGTAGGAAAAGTTAAATGAATTGAATAATATTTCATAACCTTAGTTATGTATGAAAAAATAGTCACTAAATTACGTCATTTTTAAAAGTGTTCAGCCTCTTTAAGACGTGAACTTACCTTTCTTTATTGTTTCTATAATTATCACCAAAAAGTTGCATCCCCATGACGGCAAAGATGAAGATGATTATACCCAAAACAAAAGTTAAATTTCCTAAGGCCCCTACAGTCTTGCCCATGATGGAGATGAGTAAATTCAATGTTGGCCAAGATTTAGCTAATTTAAAAACTCTTAGCTGTAGAGAAATAAAAAAAGAAAGTACAACAACACAATTATTAGAAATTCATTAAAAAAAATTCATATTTTTTTTTAAACAAAAATATTTTATCAATACAAATCTTAATTCGGTAGTGTCCAGTTTTACAGTTTCTTAAAAAGAGGTAACGGCAAAGAAAGCTTAAAAATGTAGAGATTGCTTGTAGTTTTAAATTTAAAATTGGTCATTATATAGAACAATAATATCCAACAAAGGAAAGGGTATACTTCGTGTTATGTTTTTTTTTCTTTCTAACTGCAGGTACTGAACTTTTAGTTCTTCACCTCGGAAGATGCCGGAAGTGTTACTCATTTAACGTTACCCAGTGGGCACGTGTGAACCTAAGTCACGGAGGCGAACAACATTACACATACCACACTGACACAGATACCCGTTTTATAGGGTGGGCCGCATTCACACATCACACACAACAGAGGACAACAAACAGAGAGAAACATCCATGCCCAGAGCGGGATTCGAATCCGCAGTCATTGACTTCGCAGTCAGGCACGCTAACTGCTCGACCACCTGGCCGGCACTTTGTGTTGTGTAGCCTAAAGTAAAAAACAACGTGAATAAAAGCACATAAATTTAAATATTATAGTTTCAGTTCCTTAAAAGAGAACTCCACAATGTCTAAAATTTAAGTGAAGGTAGAGAAGTAAAGTGACAAACACGGATAAAGCAGTTTAACCAATAAGGATAGAGGAACAAGCTAGACCAAGGAAATAACGAGAATAGAAAGAGGTGTGAGGGGCCCCAGAATGCAACAGATTAAGTTAAAATAGACATCCAAATACTGGGGTGGGATATACTAGAAAGATCATTAACTAAACTATTTGATTTTTCAAAATATGAAGAGAGAATGACTCTCAAAAATCAAGCTGAAAAGCAATGTTGAATGATTTTAGGAGAAGGAAACCTGTGATTTGAATTCCAACTGTGTAGAGCGATAGAAGATCGGTTAATGTTCTGATAATGGACGTATCTTTCATGTTCTTTTAGTAGAAGCATAAGGGTACGTTCAGTTTGTCCCATATAACGCAAGATCACATTGACACGAAATTTGTTAAATACCTTAGCTATTAATATAAACAATAAGGTCTTAAAGATCGGTGAAATTAAGTTTATTTACAAAGAAAAAAACTATTTTATTCAAAATCTTATAAATTTGAAAGCTATTTTTCGGATAATAAGGTAAAACATTCAAATTGTTGAAGTTCAATTTGGAGAGCTAGGTGAATTGCTGGATTTATTTTCTATTGGTGGAATCAATAATATTAGAAGGAACCAACTAAGGATTAATGTACTCACATTTGTTAGTTATTCACGTTGTTTTTTACTTGAAATCAGTAATATGTTTTAACTTCTTTGTTTAAGTGTGAAATAAAACTTAGTTCCTTTCTTTTCCGAATTAAAATGGCTCTGTTTTATTTTCCAATTGAAAAAAGTCCTATAGCACATTACAGAATTAAAAAAAAATAATTCTAGTTTTTTTGTCGTAAAATATTTTGTGCTGATAAAATCGTGATTAAATGTAAACTTAAATAAGCTTTATATACAAGCTGTTTTTTGCAAAAGAAAGATAAACGAAAATTTTTTGTGCGAGCGATTTTCTTTCCAAATGAATGCCAAGAGTAATGTTCAGAAGTTATCATAGTCGCTTTATTTTCGATTTAGTTTTCATCCTAGTTTCGTCATTCTAGTCACTCAATATGCACTATGATGAGGCTCGGGGTTGAGGAAACGTTTTCGTCATATATTTAAGAGCTCCCATTCCATCAAAAATCGACGAAATAATTCTCAAAATTAATGAAAAATAACTTAGGAATTACAAAACTGTCAAAAATCAGAGTTTTATTTCGGAAAGTGTGGTAATAATAGGAAACGAATGAGAATGTACTTTATTTCTACTTATATATAATTGGTTGCAAGTGGTCTAGCTCAGTTCTCCTTGTTTTGAAATATTACTAAATTTTGTTCGATATTATATAAAAATTGAAAATAAACTTAGACATCGCTTTCAAGAAAAATGAAACACACTGTATTGCTAATTGGGTTTGAAACTGTTATACTATAATTTACTACACATCAACAAGCCCTTATCAGTTGCTTTTTACTTTTAGATGGATTGGCCTTAATAATTATGTCAAGTATATAATAGTGACCGTTTAGCATTTTTTATGTATTTTAAAAATTGATTTCAAATGTAAATCACCACCAAACAAGTTCAAAATACCTTTGGCTTTAAATATGCACCACAGCAAGAAAAACCAAAGAGTTTTTTCTTTGATTTAGTAATTTCTCAGAAGAATTTTATTAAGAAGGGATACGAAACTAGAATTTAATACCAAATAAAGTTAAATGATAAAAAATTTCAAAACCACTTTGAGTGCACCTTGCACTACAACAAGAAGGAAAAACCGAAATACATAGCTGAAAATAGATACAGTAGTTCGAAAAAAATATTAGAATTAAAGTGAATTTAAAAAAAAAAAAATTTAAGCGTAATAATGAGCGAATATAAAAAGAAACTCTGTTAAATTATGCATTATAAAAACAAGACGAATAAAAGTATTTGAAACATTAGTTTCTTAAAAATTCTACACCAAATTTTATTATTTTATGTAATAAAACAGAACATTCAGAAGAAAGGTGTCAATGTAGCAGTTTTTTTAAATAAATTAAAATGGTTATAAGAATATTAGTTGAAATCTCATACTTACCAACCTAAATGACCTTAATACTGACAGACCTTGAACACCTTCTAAAGATAATTCTAACAAAGATAAAGCTACTATAAAGAAATCAAATATATTCCAGCCATCTTGAAAATAATATTTTGGACTCATTGCTATTAGTTTCATCCCAGCTTCTATAGCAAAAGTTGCTGTGAAGAACTGTAACGAAACGAACCCACATTTAATACAACATAAAAATTTCAGATCATATCTCTCATTCACTTTCAAGTATTTTCCAGAAAAGTCAACGTCTCCTTTTAAACTAAAATAATTTTTTAAATTAGAATGTAATGTCTTTGATTCCTTAGTTTTTTTTTGAGTCAAATTTAAGAAACTGATTACGTTATATTTCCTTATAATTGTTCCAGATCAAGGTATGCCAAAATGTTTTTCCTAGGTAGACCAAAGCAATTAACGTCGCTGCATTTAAATATCACATAATTTAAAATAAAATAATAAAAATCACGTATACCTCATTTTGACGTTTTTGCAACATATTTAGCATTTTTTTTTAACTAATTGCAAAAATAAGTTTATTTACGCTAAATGATACTTTAAGAAAGTGGCTTATTTCAGGTGTCAAGTAGATAATAATATCTTTATGCTACACATGTACAATATTAAATTACGCTTGAAATTTTGATAAACTGCAAAATCTGAATTTCATGCAAGAAATTGTATATAATTTGAGTGATTTTTAGAAAATTTCACTGCCTAAGGGGAGTGAATTTATTCAAAAAATATAAATATAGTTTTACAGAAACCGAGACAAACATAGTTTCTCAAATGTAAGCTGTTTTCAAATTTTTAAAAGAAATTTGAAATCAAATAGATTTAGTGTGAACATATTCTTTAGAGAATGAATTCTAAAAATAGTTTTAAAAGGTCAATTGACTTTTCAGTATGCAAAGAAGGAAAAAAATCTCTTACCCATTTTTTTTCCATATCCTTTTCAAAATTATTGATCCTTTGCACAAATTCTGGATTTAAATATCACTCTGTGCCTATTTTTAGTTTGTTTAGATGTAGTGTCAGAATTCTCACATTTAACCGTAAAAAACTATTATTTTGAAAGAGAAACCTCTGACGTGCAACAGAGGGTAACATAATAATCATTTGGAACAGTGATTTTTTTAATTTATACAAACTAGTAATATGTTAATAGTTTTTACTTAAGGCTGATACCACACGTGATGGTACAATGTGGTGCACCATAAGCAAAGGGTAAATACCATAAATTAAATAGAGTCAAGAACATAAAAATAGATTTTGAAAAAAAAAAACGTTTTGAAACTATATTAATAGATTTTATTCAAAAACAAAGACAATAACATTTGCGTCTTTGGCTTCTTCCAAATATATGCAATCTGTTGTTCACATTTAGATTAAAAAGTTTAGTAGATTTATTGATGTTAGGAAGGGAATTATTTGAAAAATTTAAAATATTGATTTTTAAACGCTTAGGAAAAGTTTTTTTTAAAAATACATCTTAAAGAAAAACTGTTTACTGAATTTTATTAGAAAAAAAAACTTATGCTGTAGGAAAGACGAATTAAAAAATTTATTTATAATTTAATTTGCAATTATTTTAAGAACTAATTTAGAATTAAAGAAAAATTTCGAAATAGTTAATGGGAATAGTTAATGAGTTAATGGAAAAGTATACTAAATTTAGAACAAAAGAAATAGAATTAAAAATAATTGTTGAATTCTATACACGTAGCTAATTAGTTTGACATAGTTAAAAATAAATTAATATCCTAAAATAGAAATTAGATTGCGCAAACATAATTATTTATTAAAATATTTTGGCACGACAGTAATTCAGATTTAATATTAAAAAAAAAGAGTTATGCTCGTAGTTATAACCTAAAAAAGTTTATTGCTACTTAAATTAATTGATTGACGTATCAATTTTGGCCAACCAAAATATCGGAATGTTTTTTTAAAGAAATTTATTCCCGATACTGCTTTTACCATAACCGGCAACTTTTAGAGTAATGTATGGGGAATACTTATTTTGTTATAATAATTTTTATGAATAGTTCTATGCTGTAGTCTTAATAAAAACTTTGAACTTAAGGTTTCTTTTAAACTGAAAAGATGCAATTTTAGCTGCCAATAATTTTTTTTCTTCTTAAAAGCTTAAAATATTTAGATATTTTGAACATATATTGATAATAATATGATAATCAAAGGTTGGTATGAATTTTTAAAACCAAGCAGTGAGATTGTTTTCCTAAGTTGTGAAACCTTGATTTTTTAATTTTTTGGATAATTTCTCATAATATCTCAGAGTTAATTTTTCTTTGGAATTTTAAATAATTTCTTACCTTACAGATACTATCTATTATTCAACAGAATATAACAGTTATGCGTTAAAAGTTTCAAGAAAAAATATTCAAAACTGGAAAAGTAGTAGTATTTTAAAATTTAAGTTAAAAAATTATTTTTTTCAGAAAAAAATAGATTTAACCTTAAAGTTAAAATTTAACTTGGTACAGATAAAAGTAATTGATTGATTTTATTATTAACTGATTAATTAAGTAATCTTACATAGTTCAAAAAGAGGTTCATATTATAATATTTCAATTATATTGTAGATATGTAACACTGTGTCTATAATTCTTATTTCAAATAAAAAATAAGTTAGCAGTACTCATAGTAGCAACCTTAATAATTTGATTGGTACTTACTTTTGATTACAAAATATGTGATTGCAGTTAGCAAAAATACAAAAACTTCTAAATTGATCGTAATTTTTAAAATTATTTAAAATTATGTTTATTAAAAATTTTTAAAAGTATTTTTAATTGAATGTAATAATGTAATAAAATTAACTTTAAAAATCCCTAAAACTAAATATAAGAATTATTAAAATTATTTTTGCTTAAAAATGAATAAATAAATTAAGTAATTATATTTAGTTTATATACTATGAAACTTTAATTTCGGTAATTTTTTAAATTTATAATTTTATTGCTGCTTCTGTAGAATGCTTACTAGTAAAATAATTAAAATCTGAAGGTGTATAAATATATAATGAACCTTATATGATATATTATATAAGGTGTATAAATACATTATATATACCTATTAGGTGTATAAATATATTTTAAGTAAGTAAATCGAGATAAACAAAATAAATTTAAATAATTTTATGCAAAACTTTAAGCTAAACAATTATATGTAACTTGAGCACTTGTTATAACAAGATTTAATCTTAAATTAAATAAATTAGTAGTTAATTAAATAAATATGGACAACATTAATTTAATATAAACTATATTAATTAAATAAATATATAAATTCTCAACTTTAAGTAAATACTAAAGTATCACCATTTTAGAACGATATTTTTTTGGAAGTGAATATCCACATTCAATGTAAATAAAGTAACCTTTGTATTATTCGATATGTTAGTGCTGATAGTTTTTAAACTATTTAAAACTCTATATTACTATGTAATTTTATAATTAATAGCCTTTTTCTCCACAAAGAATCGAATCATATTGTTTCAAAACACCATCCATACAAAAATTTAATTTAAGTTATGGTTGGTCTATTTTGTTTGATATTTCACAAAGCATTAACAATACATAAAAAAATAGTCTAATACATAAAAAAATAGTCAGTTTTTATCGGTAGTTTAAACTTTTCAAATATGCAGAAACAAATGATATGAAAAAATATGAACAAAATATATGTAATTAAGTTGTGGTAATCAGCAAAATAAGGGACTAAATTTCATATATTCTTTCACAAATGAATAGGGGAGAGTGTTTTGCATGTTTGACCTCTTGTACTTATGGACTCTTGAGAATATTAAGGCCAAGTAGTGGAGGAATGTTGGATTAAGTATACGTTTCTGTTACCCGTAAGAACTTTTTAATGTTTAAATTTATGGTTATTTTAATTATATTTTTTATTTTTTGTAATTTGTTTCACTTGTTGTTGGTATCTTTATGTAGAAATAGTACTTCATAGGTCAATTTGATATTTACTAGCAACCATCTTATTTTTCCATGGATAGTGCTACTGCATTTCGAATTTCTTATATATTATCCCATAAAATAAAAGTAAAAAAGATCGAGAAATCTATGTTAATTTATGTTGAGTTTTAAATTAATTAACCTAGGGTTTCAATATTATATGGATGTTAATTAGAATAATGCTTATTTCTTTGTGTGCATTTTATATTTCATTTTTTTTCTCTCAAATGCTTAGCTGAAATTTTACATTATTAAGTACATGTAAACACCCCAAAATAATACTTAATTATATTTTGTTTGAAAATTCATGCCAAAATTTTATTTAAAATTTGAAATTTTGTTTTATTATGAATAGTTAGATACATTTGGAAGTAGCTAATATTTTATTCCATGTTTTCTTACAGGCAAAATTAAAGCATTGAGTAAAGGGTAGAAAAACCAAATTTACCATTTACTTTGAATGTTGTTTCATTCAATTTTTATTTGAAATTTGTAAAGTTGAAGGAGAAAATTATTTTTACTTGTTTTAAATTTATCGATTGTGTATACCTAATATTTTGATTTAAACAAAACAGTTTAGGTTATAATTACTTTAACAAAATTTTTGAAAATAAAATTTGTTTTTGTAAAGTCTACAATATTTGCTATATTTCTTCTGAAATCCCTGATTTCCTGGCTATAATACATGTCTTCTCCAAGTTTTTTTTAAAAAATTAATTGATCTTTTTATTTATGTTGGTTATTTAATGTAGAATGGATATTTGCGCGTACATATTGACAACTGCAGGAAAATGAAGTACATAGTCATCTTAAATTATGCTTCAATTTTCGGATAAGGTAACTATGCTGTTTTTGACAAGTGAAAAAACAAAAAAATAGTGTTTTTATAAATAAAATTGAACTTTAATTTTTTTTAGACACTGTAATTGGGAGACACTGTAATATCATTATAGTAACGATTCAAAGTAGTTGATTTTCGATATGTTTAACCTATTTTGATGCGTAGTATTGAATGGAATTTTATTTACATACATATTTGCTTACTCATTTTAATTTTGTTTAAGAAACAACAGTCATTTTAATTTCAGTATGGGATGTATTAAGTTACAAAAATTATATTAACGTGGTATTGATAAATATTTTGGTATATAGTCAAAGAAATAAAATCTATATATCAAATGTTTAACAATACTAAAAAACACACCTTTTTAAAATTTCGTAGTGACGGAAACGTGTCGTTCCTTTTAAATTAATCAAATCATTTTATAAACGAAAGCAATATATATTTATAAATAAATTGATTTTGTTCAAAAGAAATTTTTTTCATTCAAGCATTACGAGAGTAATACATTTCTAAAATAGCATTAAGGTATGCTTATGCATTTAAAATAAATTAAAATTTACTGACATTAAATAAAATCCATTACTTTTCAGGAATTTATTTGTTCTATCTTTTATCCTTTATTAATTTTATAAAAATTAAAAGCATTTAAAAATTTCAGTGTACGAAATCAGCTAATATGATATGAAATTGCAAATGCTTAAAATAGAAATTATATAGTATATTTTTGCATTTCTTTGTGTTTTCAAAATTTTAATAGTTAATTATTTTTAAATTTCGTTAAATTGTTTGTTTCAATTTACTGTTGTTACATATGTATGCAATTTGAAGTCTTTTTATCGAAATATGGATCAATAAATTCATAATAATTAAGGATAGCAGTTAAAACTTTTGTAAAATTCAAGCTTATATTTTTGCAGATGAAAAAAAAAAGCATGATCGTGAATGAAATATTTCTTTGTATCAGATTAAGAAGCAATAAAAGCATTTGAGTTTATTAAAGCTCAAAACAAGGATATCCCAGTAAATTAGCATGTATGAATTTTTTTAAAGTTTGCAAGTGAAACTTTTCGTTTCACGTGTAAAAATCATGCATGAAGTTCGTGCTGTGCTTTCAGCCAAATTTTTTATCTCGTGCTAGCCCGAAAAAGGCGCAAATAAATGCTCATAGCTCAGAGTTTCTCAAACAAGCTAAACCAGTGTGATAAGGCCCAATAATACTTATTTCTTTCAGAAATGTAATTATATATATATATATATATTTTGCACAAAAGTTCTATGAAATGTTTGCTTAANATATATATAGCATGGTGTTAGAGCATGGGGTTGGGGCTAGCAAATCTCTTCCTTATGTGTTTATAATTTAGTTAATTTGTCTTACCCACATTGAAACAAAAAGTTACAAATTTACTCTCTTTTTGACGAAACCGTTTCTTGAGAAATTTTCTGAGTGAACAGTTCGCCAATCGAACAAATTATTATCTTTACTTGCTTGAGGTTGTAATTCTGTCAAATTAATTTGGTATTAATGCAGCATATCAATTAACATAATTGTTCAGGGAATACAACATAGAGTAGAAATAGTCTGTGTACAGAATCATTTTCACAAAGGAAGCGAAGAGAACTTACTTGGCTTAATGCAAAATATCAATTAACACAAATAGTTAGAAAATACAACACAAAGTAAATGGAGTATGCGTATGCAATAAACTTCAGAAACGAAGAAGGGAGTATTTGCAGGTAGACCACATTAGCTTCTATACATCCCATAATGCATTGCAAATGGTTTTAAAATGAGATAAAAAAATATCGGATAAATCCAAAAATGCACTGAGGTGACACACGAGTAAGTAAGCAGTTGCATTACAAATCACATGATTTAGCGGTTGCCAAAAACAACGAAAATAGTTTTAAAGATTGCTGAATCATCAAAAAAAATTTTTTTTTTTGAGAATGCATATCTTGTCAATCTCATGTAATATTGTCCAGCTTAACAAAATATAAAGTACAGTATTAAGCGAAGTTAGTGATGTTACGTACAATGTGTGTTCATGTAGTACAAGAACATAAGCGAATTTCAGATAAATATGAAAGTTACATTCTCAAACCTACGTTCATGTTACTCACCTGGTTTGTAAAGTTTAGCAAAATTTTATCATGAGTCTAAGCCCACCCGAATCCGAAACCTTTTACAATAAACGAGCTCGATCCCATATCGAGCCCAGACTCGTGCTTGGGATAAGTCCATCTCATTCCAGTCTGCACAGCAGTCGGTCGAAGGAATTACGAACACTTTCTTTGATCCGTGTTCATTTGCTTTTCATTTTATTAAAACGAATATTCATCTTCGGTTTTTTTTTCTTTGCGTTGTTTCTGTTCTGCTTTTTTTCTTTACATAAGAGTCGTCAGGATGCACCCTACCCCTATTAGAAATTCACTAACGTTTAACTGGCACACCTAATGAACACGATATAGGTTGATAAGTAAAAAACAAACCAAAATCACAGTTTGATAGTTCCTCCGTTCATTTAAATAAAATAAAAATTACGTTAAATTGCGATTGCAAACCAATCTTGACTTTTATCGCGCTTCCTATAAAACCCATAGATGAAAATAAGTATTTTACTGAATTCGAAGAGCTTTAAATGAAAAAAAATCGGTACATAGTTAACAAGACAAGAAGAAAAGAATCACAATATATTTCATGTTATACAATATATTTCATGTTATAAGCCCTTCAAATAAAGCTCAATTTTTAAGTTATATTTTGTGGTTATGATAGTCTCTTTTTATGTCTTAATTTTAAACGGAATAATGTCATAAAATGGTAAACAAATTACCTCGAAGTTGTAATTCTTAATTCCGTACTCAAATTTTTGTTAAAAAATATAACTTTATTATAATGCTTTACAAAATTAAATGTAACAAAAAGATTTATTGCAACCACCACAAAAAAAGACTCTGCGTTAAAAACTATGTAAAAGTAATATAAAAAATATTTGTGCTTTAATTTGAAGTATTAATCAATTCAATTTTCATTAAAATTTTTGATATCTGTTTGTTAAAAAATATACTCTAAATTTATCAATTGTTTCGTAAGTACTGAGTTTTGGGAAATAGTTTTGGATACCTCAAAACCTTATAATAATTCCAGCCATAAGCCTTTGTGCAAAATTGAAAGTTCTCTTAATTGTTGAGATTATATTAGTGATTGTGGGTGTAATTGCAACTTGTAATTTTGGTGTTGATTACTGCGAATTCTCGAGTTGGAGTATGGTTTTTTGTCTCTACTCCTAATCAGCATTCTTTGTCCGATAGCCTCTCTTCCAAAATTTTATACTAAAATGATTTGTTATGCTGTATCAATACAAATGAGTCATAATATAGTATCAGCACTCAAATTCTACACGATTGTATGCAAAAAAAGAAGGGAAATGACCAGTAACGAAGCGGAAGGGCATCGAGGTAACCCTCAGTAATTTATTGGGAAATTCGATCTACGAAGCTTGTGGCATATGTTAGCTAATCACAATTGTCCAGCGACTGAACAGCAAATTGGCTTCAAGAAAAAGTTAATCCCAGAGATAAACTTAAAGTTGGTATGGACCTTTGAAATCATAATATGGCAAGTGGTATTTCGATAACCCTGCTTGACACAGTGACATGCATGTCATGATTGATAAAATCATGACATGCATGTCATGATTTTATGTATATACGTCGTTATTTGTTCCACTGTTGAAGGATAACGTATCTCATATTTTGTAAGAACAATATTGAATAATTAAATAAATAAATAAAGTGATATAAAACAGGCTTCATTGTCGGTTTGAAAATATTCATTCAAATCTGAGCAAAAATTTTGTTGAAAACGGTGTTCTTAAAGATTTATGTTATGCTGGGGTTTGAGAAACTCTGTTTAGCAAATAAAAAAAAGTTCGTGCTTCTTACAAAGAAGAAAAAAAAGAAGTTGAAATTTAAAATAGGAGCATGAATAGAAAAAAGAGGGAAATATAATTCCCACTTAAAAACTTTGTCGCGTGTTTTTGTGTGTAAAAACGGCACCCCACTTACATAGTTGCCGTTTTTCAGGAAAGCTTCGAAATCTGGATTCATATTGTGATGGTCCATTGCCATAAAGAGAGTGTTCACTACGATGCAGAGTGTGATGAAAAGTTCCATAAATGGATCGAAAACTATGATGGAACAGAACTCCTGGAAATAAATCCAGCACGTGCAGCAATCCCAAATACAGCAAACGTCTATACACTTCAGGCAATACGGCAAGCAACGCTCTTTAAACTTTAGCTTTTCCTCTTCCTCTTCCTCCTCTCTGTCTGTTGGAAAATAATAGACGGACACTGAATAATGTTTAAGTATGGCCGACTAGTAGCCTGTGGTAGGGGTTGTCTACTCTATTGTTGACACACCACGCACACCACAAACTACGGGAAAGCCATGCGCAGGAGCTGTAACTCATTTCACAAAATAAAATAACTACGTTTTAGTTCAATCTTTTTTTTTAAATATTTCGTATCAGTTTCTAGCAACTACGTCAAGCCAAAATGCAAATCGGAAACAGCCTTTGCATCTAAGCAATTTGCATTCAGAATAAAAATACATAAAGACACATAAAATACACATGAAATATTCAGTTTTTTTGAGAAAGAATTGTTCATGTCATGATTGGTGTATTTTTAATTTATTTATATAAATATGTGCTAATAAAAGTAAGTATTAATAAAAGTAAATTATTCCCGCTACAGTCCACTGTGAGTCAGGAGGATCATGGAGGTTAATGACCAAATTCGCGACCAACAACAGGATTGTGGTAATGTGGTCAGCACAACGTACAGGTCACTTTTAAACTTCCTAGACAATAGGGGAATTTTAAAGGACATTTAACCTTTTTGCTCTTCCCAGGCAAGCGGATCTCGTTGATCTGAAGCTTGGCGGAATTTAATTCGCCTCTGAGGATCAAACGTAAGACTGTCGCAAGAACAGTTCTGTGCCTTTAACTACTGAGCCATTGCGATTCTACATTTATAAAGGGTGCGTTTTAAAGGCGCTTTTGCAGTTGAAACGCTTTGAAGAAGGAAATTAAGTTTTAGAAGAACGGTACAGTTTGAAAAATCATTCATAGGAACAGTACCATCGAATGTGGGAGATATAAACATATTTTTTATAAACTGATTCCGTTCTATGCACTTTCATTATAACAATGTATGGGTTTCCATTCAACTCTTTCATTTTTTGGTAAAACTTTTCATGTGTGCTTGTGCCATTGTATTATGACACCAACTATGTAACTAATGCGATTCAATGTTTCTTTCATAAAATGTGTTGAATTAATTTAGCTTTTTATACTACAAAAGAATTCTACACATAAATGTATGCGTGTTTACAGGTGTAGATGCCTTCGAATATTTACTGAATGAAATTTTTAGAACTGATCCTGCCATCACGAAACATCCCATCTTATTTATCTTTAGTTTTTATCTTTTTAAAACGAGAGAATTTTTTTTAAACATAAAATTTTTTTAAACACTACTTTAAAACACAAAAATGTGATATGAACAAATCTTTCTATTATGCAATAATGGAAATAAAAGGAAAACAATAGCATTTTCCGTAGTCCAGAGAAATTAATTACTATGCCTGCAAATATGTTGAAACCGTTAAGAATTCCATTACGAAAAAATTGGGGGGGGGGACTTTTCGAAAACTACTTTCTCACCACTTTTGTTTTCTAAAAAATATTAATGCTCTGCTTGCCATCAAATTGATCTTGTTTGTTTTCTATACATATAAATTTCTGATGTAACTTCACAAATAGGGCTGAATTTCTTTCTTGTCGGCGGTAATAATAAAGCATAAATTCCATTAAAAATGGTGCAAATTCAGTAAATAAATGAAGAAAGGTAAAGTAAATTAAACGTTTGTGATATTAAAGCATTATCGTTAAACCTTAATCCATGACATGTTTTTAAACTATACGCCATCGAATAAAATAACTCCGAAATCAAGTAAAGGCATCTGACAACAACGGCTAAACAGCTGACGGATGACACTTATCCACCAACAATACCCTCTTTCTTTCTAGATTTAACGAAAGACAATGAAAGCCTTTAAAAAATTTAAAATTTAAGCTTTGATTTTGCTACATATCTTAACATGGAATAATATTCCTGGTAATTATGTAGTTCCTGGTAAAATATTTTTTTTACTTAAAAACTTAAGTGGATTAATTTTCCGTAAAAATTTTCCTGTTCTATAATTTTTCTTCAGAAAAAATAGAATTTTAAAAATTATTTTTATAATTTAGAACTTAAAAAAAGGAAATAGTTTATTATTAAGAAATGCATCAAAGATGAGTACAAATTCACCATCAAATTGGTTCTGTTTGTTTCCTATGCATATAAATTTCTGATGTAACTTCACAAAAAGGACTGAATTTTTTTTCTCTTGCTGGTGGCAATAATAAAACCTAAACTCCATTAAAAATGGTGTAAATTCAGTAATTAAATGTGAAAAGGCAAAGGAAATTAAACGTTTGTGACATTAAAGCATCATCAATCCATAATTTATGACATGTTTTACATAAACTGTACGCCATTGAATAACACCGAAATCAAGTAAGAGCAGAAATCTGACAGCAACGGCTGAAACAGCTGACAGATAACACTCATCAACCACCAGCGGCCTTTTTTTTCAGATTTAACGGAAAACAACTAATGCCTTAAAGAAATTTAAAATTTATGCTTTGATTTTACTATAATCTTCTCACACGGAATAACAGATTTATGTAGTTCCTGATAATTTTTTTTTTGCTTAAAAACTTAAGTGAGTTAATTATTTGTAAAATTTTCTTATTCTGAAATTTTTCTTTAGAAAAAATAGTTTTTAAGAATGATTTTTATAATTTAGAACTTAAAAAATAAATAGTTAACTATTGAAAACATATTAAATATGAGAAAAAATTAAGGTAGTAAAGGGATAAAAGCTTATTTAGTAATTTTAATGATATGTGCACTTAATGCTAAGCTTTTTCGATGTAGGTATTGTTTTGCATTAGATAATAATCTGTTTGTGATTTTTCTTGACAACGGATAATGCTAATTCCTCTTATTTCCCGACATTAATGGGGAAATAAAATTGTGGGATACATAAAATAATGCAATACATGTTTATATATTTCAATAAAATATTTTGATAGGCAGAATATGCAAATAATTGATACAATATTTTTCGAGCTTGGTGATGTCTTAATTGACATGAATATTAATTGAAATAAAAAAGTTACTGTAGCATTGATTTTTTTAAAAGCGTAAATTTATTCATAATAATTCATAATTTGGTCATAGAATTTTGTAGTTTGAATTAAATATTACGTTTTTATATTTCTTCAGTTTTTTAATTTTTCTTTATATTTTAATTATTTGAACGCCTTACAAGAGTTTTATACTGAAGAAAATAATATTTGCATATTTTGCCACATTAAAAACATCAATTCATATTAATAAATTACATATTTATTTAAAAAAAGATATAAATATTCTTTTCTATAACACATTTTTTTGTTTATTATTACTTTTTTTTAAATTCTTCAACACGAAAATTGAATATTTGGACATATTTTTGTCATTTTTGTTCTGAACAATTTTAAAATTCAAATTTTCAAAGTAATACAAAAAAAAAACATTGATAAATTAAATTTTGAAAATTTTCTGATGGGAGGATAGGTAAATCAAAAGTTTGTTTAAAATACGTTATAAATGCTTTAATAAAATGTGATTATATTGTTTCTCAAAATAGATGTAATAACGATATTTTATAAAGTAAAGGAATTTTGCTAATATCTTATAAATGTATTCATTGATATCTGAATTATTAGAACTATTGATATTATGAGAAAAATCAAACTTCAAAAATAATTTTTAACATAACTATTAGGTTCCAAAAAATGAATGCATAATTTTAGTTATTTATGATTTATGACTGTCAGCTATTTTAATAATAAATCGATATTTTATATAAAGTCTCTGAAACTAAAAATAGTGAATTTAAATAAAATAATTTAATAATGTGTAAACTCTTAGCAATAGCTTTCGTGTTTTACTTTTAACTTTTCCATTTTAAAGTGAGCCTGTTTTTCGAAGTTTCATTTAACAATTAACTATGAATTACACTATGTTCCTAAATGATTTTCATGCTAATTGTGCGAATTGCAAACTGTTTCGCTAAGCTATTTTCATACAATATTGCGGTTATGTTAGGTGATATTCTGTTCTAGTGGATTTCTATTAGACTAGAAATTTTACTACAATCTATTCATGTACGAATTCCATATTAAAAATAATAACTTTTTCCTTTAGAGAGACTATTTTTATCGATACTCTTTTAATAAAAAAGCACGTACAGATAAAATTTCAACCATAAAGCTGTGTAAATACTATTAATGAACTTATTGTTAAAATTTTCAGTTCTACATTTCTTACAATTAGTAATATTTTTATCAATTAGAAATAAGCATTTCGATACTTAAAGTTACGAATGCCTAATGAATTAGTGAAATAACCCTATTAGAAGATAAATTTTATAAATGTGATGAGAATTTTTTCTGTTTAATTGAATAAGCAGCAATTATTGAAATTTAAAGACTCAATGCAATTATTATGTGTTTTGCAAAGTGTTATGATCGTAAGCTTTCGGATTTTTAAAATGTAAGAAAGGGTTGTGAGTCAGGATTTAAAATAAACTATAATTCTTACGGTAAATGTCGCATTATGGAAACACACTTTCGAATGCTTAAGCTATTACATAGTTTAAAATTCTACTTCGAACTGTTAACTCATAATCTTTTGGTCAATACATAATAGCCACTACTTTGAATTTTAATTGTTTTAAAAAACAATTAAATGCACCAAACATTTAAAATTTTGAATTATAGAGTTCAAAACTAGCTTAGAAAGGGAGTTTTTTTTAAAATGCATGAGTGGTAGATTAATTCAAGCTTGTTGCATAAATTTCAATTGCAGCGAGTTATTTAAAGTCCATAGTTTTGTATACGTCAAAATTAGAATTCGTAAGTTTCTTGTTTACCTTAAAAAAATTAAAAAATTATCAATGCATTACAATTACCTTTAAACAATTAGAAATTATTTTAAAATCAGTTTAACTTCAAACCACCAGCAATTAATTTGGTTTTTTGTTATAAACAATATTAATTTTCATGGAAATTTATTTAAATTAATAAATATTTAATTAAATTATGATAATGATTTAAGAATTAATTTTGGTTTACTTAATACATTTGTTCAAATTAGAATATACTAACACAAAAACTTTGTAAACATTAAACTTGAGTTTTTAAAGATAAAAATATTTCATGCATAGCACTACCGCAATTTTCAATAAAACATGCCACCTATCTATCTATATCTATTCAATGTATCATATGAATCTAAACAATTAACAAATGCTCCTATAAATATCTCTACTTCTTCAAGCAAATGCAACTATAAAACGTTTGGGAATTGCAAATGAATAGTATTTCTACGAGGGGATTTGATTTTGGTGTTGAGCAAGCACAATAATACTACGTTGTAACTACCTCTTTCACTCGCTTTACTCTGTCTCCCAGCTGCTTGTTCTATTATGTCGTTTAGCACCATAACATCTAAAAATAGAAACAGAATTGATTTTATTGATATTTTTAAAATTGAGAAAATTTGATTTGCTCTATTATGTCGTTTAGCACCATAATATATAAAAAATAGAAATATAATTGATTTGATTGATATATTTATACTTGAGAAAATTTGATTTGTTCTATTATGTCGTTTAGCCCATAACATCTAAAAAAAAGAAATAGAATTGATTTGATTGATATTTTTAAATTTGATCAAATTTGAAATTATCAGTTCTTATAGGATTTCAAAATAAACTGTTATTGTTTATTTTAGAAATTTGTTTGGTGATTAAGATAAATGGTATTTTTATTTGTAATTAATTTGTCACACCATTGTCTATTTTTATAGCAAAAATTTACGCCAGAAATTCTTATAAAGGATATTTGAACCAAAAATTTGTTCAAATATGCAATGTCAAGCAACAAGAATTGTTTTTAATATCTCATCAAACTATTAAAAGCAATAAAATTATTTTTCAATCTTATTTCTCACATGAAAATTCGAAGTTAAGATAGATTCTATCATTATAAAATGGATCGAGCTCTTATTATATTTATTTATTTTGATTTTCTGCAGAGTAAGTAATACTGTTTCAATTCTTATTTTCTATTAAGAAAATTAATTGACAATGTATACAGAATCAAACTATATAATACATATACCACACAGTAAAAAATTTCGAAGCAAATTACGGTAAAAATAACCGACACACTTTACAGTGAAATTCATTTTTACCGGAACATGTTGCGGAACTAAAAATATGATATACCGTAACTTTTACAGAAATAATTGCCGTAAAATCACTAAATCACTCTAATTTAATAAAAATTACTAGAAAAATCACAGTAAAAATGAATTCTGTGGATGATACACCCAAAAGGCCGGTACTTTATTCCGAAATGATTTGATCCTGAATTTTTTGTAAAGTATCACATCAAATTGATGCCTTCATTTAGATAGTTATAAAAAGTTTCTTAATTTCTCAACAAGACTTATTTATAATTTCCTCCTCATTCAGAATAGCATCATGTTACTGAGGTATTCATCTTACTCACATGACGTCACTCCAGCTATTTATCTTTCCCATTTCTTAAAATCTAACCAAAATCTACTTAGTAAAATGATTTCGCAGAATTGAATAATTTAAAAGGTATATCTAATTCAAACATATAAATTGCCATGAGTTTTATTGCATATAACGTTGATGATAAATTCATAAAACAAACGAAAAGCTCTTATTGAATCAAATAGTTTCTTATGAAAAAGCTATGTTAATATTTATCACTTGTGTTAATTGATTGTAAAACAAATGTTTTTTAGGATTCAATTTACTTAAAATTTTAATATAATCAGAATTTTCAAAGTTACATAAATAAATTATAATATAAATAAATGTCTTAGAGGTTTGTTAACAAGTTAGGGAATACCTTTCATGTCTAATCTTTTTCTGGGATCTCCTGGATCCATGAAAGGATCGACTGGCTGCTTGTTCTTTGGAATCATGTATTCATCATTTTCCATCTCCTGTAATAATAGTTGCATCATTTAAGAAAACGTAATAATAGAAAATAAAAAATGAAGTGTATTTTGAAACCATTCGTTAATATAAAACAGTTGAAAATGCTCAGATGAAAATTCAAACTCATATACACCAGTAATCCCTTTTGGGAGTCACATGGATTTCTATTTATATTATTTCCTTTTCTTTTCTCAGATTGATGTAAGTTTTTTTTGTTTTGGTAAGAAATGCTCCCATTAAAATGTTAATTAATAATTTTTAAATGAATTTTTTAATAGAAGAGTGATAGTTACTTGTCATTCAATATTTTTTATTATTATTTATTTTTCTATATATAAATAATACCAACAATTTAAAAAGAAATGACTATGACTTGTGATAAATACATATTATTAATTTTGATTACTCTTATGAGTTACTTTCCATCATTGTACTGAATTTAAAATATCGATTAATAATATTTGCTAGGTTAGTTTTTAAATTTATTTGTTGCACTCAGAAATGTTTTTCACACCCTTTTTCAAAAAAACGAACAAACAAACTAATTGAAATATTACTTATTTAGTTACATAATTATAATAATTTAGGTCAATATAATAATATCTTGCTTAAATAGTTTTAGAAAATGTAATAATAATTAGCCTCAAAATTGCAAATTTAACGAGTTCACTTCAGCCATTTACGCAAACAATAGAAATAAATTCAACTTTTTCGGAAATTATCTTAGGGCTAATCATTGATACTATTTTTCTATGTTTGTATTATTACTTACAAAATAATGTTGAAGCAGTAGATTGATATGATAAATTAATCTAATAAAATATAATTCGTATAATATCATAAAAAGTACTAAATGGTATTCATCATAATACCCTAATCATATAAAAAGTGGGATGAGCTGTAAACTGGACATTCCTTTCAAAAGATTTTCAAAATAATATTAATTAGAATATTCTTGAGCAAGTGTTTGACGTTTACAATGCATGCTTAAGGCATGTGTAGTTTACAAGAAGTTTATGCCTCGTTGGAAAATATTTTCTTTCATGAATATTTTTTTTATTAAACTGTGAACAATCTTACAATTAAGTTAACTGTTTTAATAACTTTTGAACTATGAGTCCGAATAAATTTTTTCCTTTAAACTTCGTTTAAGTTACATTAATTATAAATTTTGTAAATTATTTGCAAAGCTGCTAATTATGGTGCAGTGATAAAAACTAATTTTTAATCAAATATTACTTGGTGATTTTACACAGTGAATAGAAATGTTAAGTGCAGAGCAAGAGTGAATTCATGCAAGGATATGAATGAATGGCCCAGCATCATAATAAGCTACAATGCTTATCCTTGGATTTTGTTTTAACAATTTTGAGGTCATCTTCAGACAAATTAAAGTCAACTTAAAGGCTTCTACTGCACCATTAATAGCCCCTTTTTTTTCTCTAATTGTTGTTTCAGCCAAACATTTCCATATTTAAATTTCGATGCTAACTTTTCTAAAAAGCCTTTTTTAATGAACAAGAAATACTTATGCAAATAAGTTTACAACGCTATTAAAATGTACGAAAAAAGTAGTTACACAAACTCATGATCTTCAATAACCGATTCATTAACCTTCATGCTATTTAATAGTTATTTTTCCGAATTCTATATTATGACACTTATTTGTTTATTGAATTTAAACTATTAATATGGAATTTATGAAACTGAAGAAAATGTGTTAAAGTTACACTACTTTAAGACAAAGGGAAATTGAGCACACCTCGACTGAAAGTTAAATGCAAAGAGAAACTTCTATTTATTGATTACATGGAATAAAGGTGTCGAGGGTATCAGTTATTGTACACTGTTAGAATTTTCATTTTGAAATTATGGTAAAATAACCGACAGTAGTCTGTTTCATTGATCAACCATAAAGTATACGGTTAAAAACATTTTTTTTTTACTTTTACCGTTTTGAAACCATTTACAAGTGGCACGGTTAAAAAGTCGTGAATACAAAACTATACTGTTTTGTAACCATTTACGACTAGTAAAATTTCCAAACCATAAAAATGAAACTTATGCGGACATTGGAGATCTGTTGATGCTCCGCCATTTATGTGTGAATGATCGTTTCCTATTTTAATAGTTTAGAATCACAAATTGAAGAGTGCAGGATACTGGAAACTCTTACTGTATTGAAGGATTGGACGAAATATTGTGGTATCAACTCTGGGATTCGAACCCTTGTTCAGCAGGTCACGGAATTGACCGATTAGTCTTCTCGTCTATAGTATGTACCCAAGTGCACGGAACAAAATGGCTTCATAAGAATTCGGACTATTAACCCTATTATGTAAAAACAATCAATAAACGTTTTTTCTCACACTTTACAGTTTGAATATCATCTTTTTTATGGTTGTTTGGCTGTTTTGTTTGAACATGGACAGTAAAATGAATTGTTATTTAACCATTTTTACCGAGAAATTTCTAACAGTGTACTTAAGGTATCGGTTATTGTAGATTTTACAGCTCGAATTAAAAAAAAAATCAAGAAGACAAGAACCTCGTTGTAAAGTCCAAGGAGAAACCTTGATCTTGACCTGAGTTGGCTCTCCTTCGTCAATCCTTTTCCATAGATATCACTGTGCGAATTGTAAGATATTCTAGAAGAATGTGATGTGTAGCTGGAATGCTGAGGTAAATTAGTATAAACAGGAATAATGATTGCTCCGTTTTCTTCGGACATAGGCGTCACAGCGTTGCTGTCATCGGCATAGGGTAAGTGTTCTTGAGCATCGACCAACGTTTGTAAGACCAGGGGTTTCCGGTCCCCGTAACGTCGGCCGTTTCGCCAGTTGCAACTGAACTGGCTTGCACGACTGCCCCGCCGGATGTTGAAGGGTGACCCAGGAAGACTTAGACTCGCCTGAAAATGGTACATAACCAGGACTGTTCAGAATTGCGCTAGGATATATGTCATACGAATTATATAGAGCATTATAAAAAAAGAAGGCATGCAGGTTTTGTATAGTGGGATAAAGAGTATCGTAAGATATAGTGGGATAAAAGTATTTTATTTCGTAAGACTATGTTAATGTAAAAAATAACAATTGACCTGACAAATATTTGAACAATTTAATGAGGATTATAGTTGCTCAAAATGTACTCTTATATTCAAATATTATGAACTGTGTTAAAGTCACAAAAGAAAAGGAAAAAAAAATACTGTAATAATAAAATATTGTGAAATATTGTTGTAATAAAACAACATAAAAAACATTTAGTTAGTTTGATAGAAAGGTTTAAAATGCATTGAAACATTTCAATACACTATTATAGAATTTTTATAAAGCTTTGATAAAAAATAAGGTTTGATTAGTAAAATCAAGAATATAATTTTATGGAAGTAAATTAAGATCACAATGAAGGTGCTCTAAATATGGAGTTCATTATTTATCGAAAAAGTAAAATGCTTGAATAATAAAAAAAAATCTGATGGTGATGTTTCCTTAATTAAATATCGTGAAATACTAAAAACTTGATATTAAAATTGAAAACACAAGCATAATTTTGGTTACAAAAACTTGGTATTATGAGTAATAAAAATATTACAATTGTAATGGAATCAATTTCATCGATATAGGGCCATTCCATTCAATATCCTACTCAGAGGCATTTTAAAGAATTGAACAATATTGCACTCAACACATACACACACTTCACAAGATACGATATCGCAACGATATCGCGTATGAGAGAAAAAAATACGTAAAGAGAATGCACAACACTCAACACAGATGGAGCAGTGTTAGCAGTTCAAATTTGTGCATGTGAGCGGTAAAGCACTAAATGTGCAATATGTGAATTAGAATGAGTGCAAGTCATTTTTCAGAGAATAACAAAGTGCATATGATTTTGATTATTTTAGTACAAAGTAATGTAATAAATATGAAAATTTTATTTTCTGATGGTTTTATTAAACAAAAGTAAATAAATTAATAACGTATAAGATAAAATATATACAAAATCATGTTTAATTATGCACTCTCAAAAAATATTGGCATATTTTATTTTTTTATCTACTCGTCATCTTCATTCTATATATTTTCTGGTTAAGTGTTTTGAACTGTATTCAAAATAATATTTACTTTACATTTGATGATAACAACAGAAATTAAACACACGAAACTTATATTTTTATTATTTATACGACTTTTAGCAAATCAAAACACTGATACATTTCAGTTCATTCATAAGATTTATGCATTCTTTTAAAATAAGGCACATTGAATCTGCATCGTTGGTTTGTTCATAGTTTACTTTTGGAGTATTCTGTTATAAACACTAAGTGTGATATTTAATGGAATAAGCCCTATTCATTTAACAAAAAAATATCATAATTTTTACTTATTTAAAGTATTTTCATGTTTAAAATATTGTAAACGGAAATGGATGTCTACTCGTAAAATAAACTACAGAACAAGATTTTTAAAATACTTAACGAAACATAATAGCTGCATTTAAGCCATGACGCAGTAATAATTCACAGTTCGAATAATTTTTAATAAACACTTTGAAGATAAATATTCTATTTATTTATAAAAAAAAGAGCATAATTATACATTTTTAATAACTTTCAGGTATCGGTGAATTTAGTACACTTCAAGAAGTTTGGGATTCCTGATTCAAAGCAAAATATGCTTTATAGCAATAAAAATTTTGTGGTTTCGCATTAAGATAACATTTACTTTATAATTGTACAATAAAAAATTGCACAATTGCATGATAAAAAGTATTGCACAATAAAAAAGTGTTGGTGAACTCCTATAATGATCTAAGAATTCGCGTTTTATTGAAAATTACGTGATTTAGTATCAAAATTATTGTTAAAAATATAACTAAATATAGCTAAAAGATTAATGAACTGCAGAGTTTTATTTATTATTATTATAATTTTTTTTTGAATTATTAATTTCTCCATAATGTCACTGCTTTCTGTACTTCAGGATACTTAGTTCATTATTTCCCTAATAGATGGCATTAGTGATCCTAGTTTTTCACCAATTATGACTTCAGCAGAGGTAGGGAAATGTGGGTGGGGATTTGGGGTTTTACCATACTGTAAGAGATTAGTAAATTTATGTATTTAAAATCATATTGTTGTGTTTTTATATTATATTATACTGGTTATATTATATTTTGCTTTAAAATTTTGTTTAATTTGTGTTCAATGTGTATGTAAAAATTATAAATACAGTAGTTATTGCATTTAAAATTTTATTCTTGTAATAAAATACCATTTTCTAACTTTTATAATAATATAAAGAACAAAATTAAACTGATAAAAAAATTTCCATTTTTGGTCCATTTTTCTGAAATATATGTCACTGTTAAGGGGTTAGTTATATCAAAATAACAGAAGGAAAATATTTCGAACATTCAAGTTCTGTAAATATTTTTGCATGGTTTTTCTAATACTTACTGCTTGCATTCGTCTTTGAAACGTTGTCCAACACGATCTTGATGTCCGCTTCACAGCCGAAGCTAATTTAGAAAAATTATATTCAAGACTAAAATCAATCTTCACCCGCCGGTTCCAACTTTCATCTCCATAAATTTTAGAAAAAAAAATAAAAAATAAAAATACAGCTGCTAGCACTTGTCACAAATGCATACTTTTTAAATTAAATTCTTTTCTGAATATGATATTTTTTTGCTTCGTACATTATATCATTAACTGTTTTTTTGTTTTTTTTTATGTACGAATGTATTATTGATGAGCTCTAATCTCTAATTTAATAAAAAAAAATATCTGATGTTGCAAAAAAGAAAAAGAAATGGAATGACTGTTAAAAATATTCAATGTTTCATAAGAGAAATTAAGATAGATGGTTATAAATTAGTGTTATAAAGGTAAGGTATAAATTAAGTTAAGGTATATAAGGCTTCATGAGAGAAATTAAGAAATTGATGTAATATTTATACAGGAATTTACAGCCCCATATACAGGATAGTATGGGGATTTGCATAAGACATTCATACATAGGTTTGCTTCCTAAAATATTAAATCGTAAAATTTAACTTTGGTCATTTATACTAGTAATCTTAATATTTCTTTTCTTTTAATTGGCTATATACTCCAAATTTCTTCTGACAATAGAACCCTAAATGATTGACCTACTTTTGATGGAACCCCGAATTAGCTAATAAAGTTTATTATAGTAATTGTAAACCTAACTAAGGAAGCGCTGCTAATTATTTTGAAAGTATTATTGTAACTGCTGTATCGTTTTGTACATAATAGTTTAAAAAAAAAGACATTTAGTTATGTAAATTTTACATTTTGAAACTGGGAAATGGGCTCTGTAATTTTGGCAATACAAAAGAAAAAACGAAGATAAGAATTTTTAAAACAGCACAGTTTCTCGAATCTTTGTAGCTTACATTCATTATCAATTCCTGTAATAATGTATTGATAATGAATCGTAATAATTTATTTAAATAAAATTTTCATCATCTTAACATTAAAATTATTTCACATAATAAAATAGTATTTGATTATTCAAATTTTGCCTTTTAAAACTAGGAAATAGGGTATATAATTTTTAACATTTACTGAATTTCAGAAGTTTTTACACGATTTTTTTAGCTAGTCTTAGTTATTTTGTATTGTTATCGAAGATAAAAATGCACATAATTCTAAATTTTTTACCTTAAAACAGAAAGACGCACCGAAAGTTTAGTTTTGTTGGTTAATGTTATACAAGTAATTTCAAATAAAAATGGCATATTTATACAAGGGAAAATTATTAAGCATTGTAACGAGAATTTAACAAATTTAAGCTTTTTTATTTCATTATTTGTAGAGTGATATTTCTTTATTGTAGAATTTGTTTGAAATTGTGGAATTTATAAGTTTTTTGATAAAGAAAAATCCATCAATATTTTTTAAAAATTTTTTGAAAAGCAGTAAAAATGTATTGTTATCTTTTAATGAAAATGCAACGGTCTGACAGTTTGAATGATTAGAAGGAGAAATTTTTAAAGAAAAATTATTTTGGATCATGTGTAAAAAAATCCATACCCATAAAACGTTTCCTGAAGTGCTTCACACTTGATGAGTTTTTCGTAGCTAATAGACGTAATAGCTTGCTTAAAACTATAAATATTCCCTGCATTGTAACGATCCAAGAAACAAGATCCATATTTCTAAGAAAATTAAAATGAATGATGCAAATTTGAAACAAAATTGCAAAACAAGAATTCTTCTAATTTAAGAGTAGTGTTGTGGGCCTCAATTAATGCCTTATTAGCATAATTTGTAACATCTGATGCTTCAGTGTCGTTGATGGTAATGGTAGCACACATTAAACTCCTAGTAGCAATATGGTGATCATGAGTTTGATTCTGAGTCTGATGGAAAAAGTGGGATTTTGAATCTACCCTGGTTGAATGCTCTATTGTTATGATGTAATTAAGGGAGTTTTGCTCTAACGTAGTAGTTTAAGGTGTTGCTTATACCGCTGGTTGAGAGCTGGAGGTCATGAGTTAAGCAGTCGACTATTAAACCGACGTGAATCTATAGCAAAATGCATGCTAAGCCTGTCAGGTAAATGTCCCGTCTTTGGCTGTGACTTGGAAATTTGGAGAGAAGAGTACCAGCTCAAGAGAAGTGCACGCATTCTGACCAGGGTCAAGTTCCTACCATGGCTGTTAAAAAATAGAGGCTGTGAGAAATAGAGCTACGTGCTTGGCCATGGTTGGGTGGTGCGTGGTAGTAAGAAGATTGTACAAGCACGTGGTATTACAGTGGTGAACGTATTCATTGCATCAAGGAATGCGTTCAATTTTGAATTTTCCTACTTTACGAACTCCAACTTTTCTAACGAAAGGAATGGTGCTCCAGTAGTAGAAAAACAAGAAGATAGTTTTAAAATGAATAATATATTTCCATACAAAGATTGAATTTTCTAAAAGAATTGGCACCCTAAAGTAGTTCTAAGAAAAAAATTGCAGCTATATGTAATCAAATACGAAGTTGTAGTCCTGAGTAAGTAGCTCGGAAACTCCCCGGATCCTTATCCCATAAAAATCTCTGATAATTTGAGCGGATGCTTGCAAAAACGAATTGCAAAATATTAAAAAAAAAATAGTCCGATAAGAAATGAAGAAATAATCAAAAACTGAAGTTTAATAGCGATAGAAACTGGTAATGAAAACGAAGAAACGGCTTATGGGAGTAGGAAGCAACAACTAAGAGCAATATACATTAATATTCACAGAAAATAGTATAAATAGTTGTTTTCTAAAATATATGTTTGATACAATTCTTTAAACTGTTTCGTAAGGATATGTAGTTTTAATTAGAGCTAGGTGAACTTTAAGCTTGGAAGTAGGTAGAAATTGCTAAAAAGTAAAAAAAAATCAGTTTTATCCCGGAGGTAAAATAAACAAACAAAAATGGTACAAAAGATAGTTTTTGTTACGAAAACTTGACTCTAAAATTAAAACTTTGACTATAGATGTGAAATTTAAAGGATATTATTATAGCAAGAATTTGACTACCTTGAAGTATTTTCCGCGGAAATTTTTATAAATTTGTTGCAGTTTAAACGAAAACGAAAGACTGAGGTTTAATTTTATTTTTAATTAGAAAATTATTATTTAAGCAAAAGTTGAAAATGTAATGAACTGTATTGAATAATGTTTGGGAAATATTTTTTGTTGTTCACGGAATATCGATTTAGCACACATAATTAAAAAAAAAACATTATTGTGATTTTATAAAATGATTGTTATAGTAATTATGCTGTTGCTTTTCTGTAGATCATAACATTTTGTAATCAAGTTATATTCAAGAAAAGTCATTGAAATTTTAAGGCTAAGAGCAAATGAAGTGAATAAAATGGAAAATGTATGAACTCGTAAGCATTTTAATGTCTTATGCCAACATATAAGATATTACCTTAATTAAAACATTGCATAGATTACGGCGAATTTCAATTTACGATACGTAGTTGCTTTGTATTAGATGTTGTTGCAATGCGATATCGGAAAAAAAATCGATGTTCTTTTTCTGTAATTCATTATCATATTTGAAAAAAAATGGCGACGAAAACATTCAAAGAGTGATCGATAATTTTATCTAATTAAATAAACATTTTATGTCCACACAAAGAAAAAATTCTAATAAAACTAACGAACTGTATGATATTGACATTTCTGGTGAAAACCATAATTCTGGTATTAAAAACCAATATTAAAGCTATTTAAACCATTGATTTGGAAAATTTTTTTAAATTTCATATGGGAAAGGCTTACAGAAAAGTTTTTAAAAGTTACCGATTTTCAAATCTATAATGCTTCACGAAAAAAATACATAATACATCACGAAATTAATTAAAATACAAAGCTGAAAATTAAATTTAAGCTAATAAATAGTGTTATGCCATGCTCTAAAATATCACGATAAAATTATCTAATTTTATCAAATTTACCGAATTTTATCACTTATTATTAAACCATATTTTATTGTTAATTTTACCCAAATAATTACCAAAGCGCTTAGGTGAAAATTACTGAGCTTTTGGTGTTTTCTTAGTGCCATATAGATGGAAAATATTCCAAATTCTTTTAGATTTCACCAGAGTTTTTTCTCTCTTTGAGCAAATGATTGATTATTTACAGGCGTCAACGCGTTCATCTACGTTTGCCTTTGCTTATTAACCCCTTCCTTGCTTCCTTGCTTATTAACTCTTTTGTCCAGAATTTCATATTTTTCCTTTACATACTGGATGACTGCACTAGACTATTTTGAATATAACTTGAGACAGTTTATTTTAAACTAGATATCAGCACAATCCACATACGTGCATTTGTGATATGTATTTTGTGCTCTTAGCGCAACTACTCTCTTTGAATGCACGTGGTTTGTGCTTTGTGATAAAATATTTTTCAATATTGTGTACGTTATGAGACAAGTGGAGTTTTCACTTTAAAGCTACAAAAATTCCAAAAATAAAAAATGAATATAAATATTTCACATACAACTTTTTTGTATAATTTTCTTGAATAAAAATGTGGCACATTTGGCTGTTGAAATACATGAAAATAGGATCGTTAAGGGGTTAAACCTATTGACTTTTAGAATTCAACTGACGTATCATGGAGGATTATCTCCAATGGAAACATTTTCCAGTATGCGGCATTTATTTCGTATTCCCCACAACACTACATATGAATCTAATTTACAAATTCTAAATTTACAATTTTTGTTCAGTTGGAACGAATCGGGTGAAAATTGATGCAAAAACTACTATCTATGGCTAGAGCAGATCTAAAGCTTAATATATACAATACATGACTTAAAATATCAGTAGGAATGCAACGTAGGGCTCCTGTGGGTTACTACAAAGGGAATGAATAAGTGATTTCATAACACAATAATGCAAACACTAAAGAAATTACAGCCTACAATATATCTACTTAACAAAAAAATAAATTAAATCTAGATCTACTTGAAAATTAGAATCAGAAGCTTTGTAATCCTGTTGGAGAAAAATATGCTGCATTAAAATAAATATTATTATAGTTTTGCATCATAATATTTAAATTATAAATACATTTAAGTACTTGTTTTTAAAATATTAGCTATATTAAATTGTATGACAACAATTTTATTGATTCAAATTAGAACAAATTAAAATTTTTTATATTTCTCAGACGATATCCTTAATTATATTTCATTTATTATATATTATCTATTTTATTAAATTTTAAAATGATTACATTAAATCAGATAATTAAATTAGAAAAAATGCTTGCTTGGTTATATTTCTGCTTTTAATTAATATATGTATTTCATAACATGAAAATATTTAGATTTTTTTTCCTGAAATTATTTTGAAAGCTTGCACCTAGTTCTAACTACTAATTAAATGATATTTGAAATTTAAAAAAAATTAAGTCAACTAATTATTCTTGAAGCATATTTTCTGGCAAAAAAAGAACAAACTGATTAAATGAAGTAGATTTTATTATAATAATGTTTTTAATGATTGTTATTGCAAATTTTCATTTACCAGTTTTGTTTCTTGTTCAACAATTTTTGAAATTTTTTTTATAATTAATTTAAATTTGGTTGTTCCAATTTTAAACAAAAATATTAAAACCGAAACCATCCATGAAGTTAATAAAAAATTAGTTGTTTTTATTAAATAGTAATACTTTAAGAAAATTAAAAAATATGTGTGTTATAGATATGAGCATCAGATAACATTTAAACCAGTTTTACAGAAATATTTGATTTTACTACTGAAACAAGTGAAACAAGCAAAAGGCTATGAATTGCACATTGCTTAACTTTAATTGCATACATAAATCTTTGTTGATAATTTTTAGAATAGTTTTTAACTGAGACAATCGAAAAAAGTACCTTTCTCATCTTGTTATTTATTCTAGCTTTTTGTTCCCTTTCATAAATGCTTTCTCCTTCAGCACTTCGTATACTTCCTCTTTCTTTGGAATCTTTCTCTTCGTTACCTTTTTCTTGACCAACGAATAATTCGTAAGAATTACAAGATAGGTCAGACGGACTTTTTACTACACCTTCTCCCCGCCTCTCTCTATCCTTCGCTTCTTCTTCCTCTAACTAAAATTATTCAAACAAATAATGTTAAGAATCATCTAATACTTATTATTTACTTTTAGGTCATAATATTTGGAGTTTGGTTTCAAAATCACAAACCTATTTGTTTCAAATAATTCTGAAAACTTAAACATCAATACTTTACTTCTTCGAGTTATTCTAATTAAAAAAAGACTTTACTCTCTTTCATTAGAGATACTTTCTCTTGCTACGTAATTATCTGAGTTAGAAATTAGAATTACCTGAGTTAGAAGCCAACTGTATCAGTTATTATCCTCTGATTTCAATATTTTTGGGAAAATTAATTAAAAAAAATTGAATGCAGTGACTGTTCATGTTTTGAAACTGGTTGCAGTTGCAATTTTATATTTGAGAAATTATGGGCACTCGGTTTACTTTATTCGGGAAATTGAAACAAAGAGAAATAACAGCATAATTGCAGTATACAGAAAGAGATAGAAAAAAAACGTAGGCTGTGAGTTTCTTTGAAAAATTAACAATTATATTTTACTAAGTTTAAAAAATATTTACTAAGTTCGTCTATGTATGTATAAAATATTCTATAACAATACCTAAATCAAATTAATGGATCTAAAAACGAAACCTGAAAAGAAACTTTGTAGATAACAGATATTTGTAAAATTTTAATTCCTAACAGACGAAAATTTTTTAATGATCTCTATCACATAATTAAAGTATCACTTCAAATATAAATTGTCTTTAATTTGATAGAATTGTAATTTTTATTTATAAATGGTGCCCTTACAGAGCAGCAAAATATGTCTTTTTGAAACTAAAATACCATTCATTTTAATAAACCATTAAGTTTTTAATAAGATCTTCGTCCTGACATATCATTATAAAATGTAGTCAATTCCGAACAAAGAAACTTCTTGAAATCGCAGATCACATGACTTGAAAGAGAGAATAATCATATGGTATGTGAAAAAGTACGCTCTCGCCTTATGAAAATGAGAGTTTTATGGAAATATGGATGGAGCTTAGGCTTTCTGTGTATAAATTGTAGACAGTTAAAATTCTTAGTTTTTATTCAAACTAAAACTAGGAGAATAGAATACTTGAAATTCTTCATTCTTCAGAAATATCGTTAAAATTACGAATGATGAAAATTACCAGAAAATTGAATTAAGATGGATTAATTTAATATAAAATAAGATTAGATAAGATTTCGGTACGACATAATGGGAAACACAGTCTTACAAATTGTATATATGGGTAAAACTAAGAAATAATGTTTTCAAAATATCTAATATTATTTGCATAAAAACTATGAAACTGTCTAGAGACAAAATCAATAGACGCTTTTGCCTTTAAATCGGCAGTGGCAAGTAAGTTGAGGTTAAATTTTTGCCAGAATAAAGACTTTGGAGGAGATTGGATCCGCTAATATATATAAAAGAAGGTGATATATCTTGTTTAAAATTCAATGAACTAAATTATACTCACCAATCTTGCTGCTTCGGCTTGCATAGCTGCTTCTTCAGCTAATGCAGCCTCCTCTTCTTCTTCTGCCTTCTTCTGTAGCTCGTCGTATGACATGGCGACAATGGCCAAAATTAAATTAACTAGATAAAAGGAACCTAAGAAGATTATCACAACGAAGAAACACATGTGCCACGGACCTGCACATATTAATATCTAAAAATTAAAATAAAATGCGATTACAATTACAATATTAATTTGTCGAAAATAAGCAAATGAAATAAAATATTATATGATAAACTTTGTATTATAATACATTGCATAGTTTTGTTGTGATTCGTAGAAATATTGAAATGAAGCTTAATGACTGAATGGTTTATTGATAATGGAATGAGTTTTATTGCCCTTGGGATCCATATTGATATTTAAATTAGTAAGTAGTCTTGGTTATAGAATCTGTGAAGAGATTTATTCTCTAAGTAACTAACGTGTAAAACGAATTGCTCTTTTCAGGCTCAGTAAGTTATTTTAGTTTTTACTATTTTTCGTAATTTCATAAAACCTTTATAAAATCATTTTGATTAATAAAAATAATTACCATTTTAAGCAAGTTTTAAACGCAACATTTTGCAAGCGTTTTTTCTTCTTTCCAAAACAGTTTTTAGTGACCCACATCTTTAACTGAATGAAAAATTTGCATTACAAATGCAACGAACAATTTAAAAAAAAGGAAAAAATTCTGATTATTTTTACTTAAGAGGTACTAAATTTACATGAAAGTTGCAGGATAATCAATGTATAGCAAAGTTGCAATTGATTTTTTATTGGAATATATATTTTGTTTTGAAACTAGTCTTATTTGTTGCCTATTACAGTTTCAGAAATTAATTTTAGTCAAGAATATTATATATTTACTAAATATTCAGACCTTAACCAACAAAAAATATTTAGACTAATAATAGCACTGTTTTGTTACGTTCAGATAAACACTGTGCTCATGTGTTCACGTATTTAACATGCCAATATTTCTTTAAAAAATTTTTAAGTCATAACTCATAGTTAAATATTAAATTTTTTACCACAAAAAAGTACTTATGATTAAATAATTTGTTATTAAATAGTTAGTTGTTAAATAAAATAAATATTTTTAAGAACTCTGTTTTTCTAAAAAAAAATTATTATTAGAAATTCTTTCTACAACAATTTGCTCAAAAGTTTCATAGATAAAAATCATGCAATTTCTATCTTGATCGTTTTTGAAATAATCAATTATTAAATGATTATTTATAGATACATTTTTTATATTTTATAATCGTCATTGATCAGCTGACCCAATTTTTTTGGGTTTACGACCACTAATTTCAACTCCGTAGCCTTAATTTCCCAATCCAGAAGACAAGAGAACTCCTGGATCAAGTATTGGAAGAAATTTGCCTTCGTGGAGGACTTTTTGATGGAACTAACCCGCATTTGCGTGACATGATGAGGAAAATCACGAAAATCTCCCACGGTTTACCTGACGGCAAGGGGACTCTAGATCCGCCTACCACTAAGGATATTTTATGTCAGCGCTGTGGCCGGTGCAAGCCGGATGCGGTATTTGATGTGGTATTTGCGATATCGACCAGTCATCGCTGGAATTCGAACCTAGATCACCGGATTGGAAGGTGAACATTCTATCACTCGAGCCATTACAGCTCAATTTATAGACATAAACATGTTTTGGTGATAGTCTGGTATCTGATAAGATTCATAACTTTTTTCTCCTTTCTTATGAATTCAAGCTGCTGCAGCCTGCTTTGAAAATAAATATTTTCAGCACATAGAATATATTTACGTCTTTATCATTTTTAATTTTGCATGATTCTTGGGAGATCAGTGTTGTAAGTTAAAGTTAAGAATCCTGTGTTTAGTTGCAATTGAAATTTTCAGATTTTAAGTTATTCCTAAAATGCCTTCTAACCGAAATATGCTATATTACCAAGCAGTTAGGAGTAGTGGAGCAACTAGTTCAGCCAAAGTTGACTAATTTATCTAAAATTTTAATTAAGTATATAAAATGAAACTTATACTTACACACTGATATAAATTTTCCCAAAAGTCTTGTGTCATTAATCGAAAAGAAGAGAGCAGAGCAGAACCAAACGTATCAAAGTTCGTGTACCCATAATTTGGATTCATTCCGAAACCCTGCAGACATGTGTAATTTGGCGGACACAGGCTGCAAAAAAAGGTATTATTTTAGGTTTTTCTTTAAAAATAAACAGTAATCTAATGTACGTAAAAGTAAATGCCATTTTCTTAGTTAATTGCTCGATAATTCGAAATTCAAAGTTCAATTCTTGTCGAGATGAACTTTTTCTCTCTAATTGCGATTGAATTGGATAATTGTTGACATTAGGAACATTCTAGTCAAACTTTTCAGACAGACTGAGCACAAAACTTAATTTTTTCATATTATTAGAAATACTTGTTATTGCATTAGAATTATGGGTTAAATTTTTGTGTTACTTCTATTTCTGTTTTTATTGTATTAGTCGTGATATATATATAAACTGCTGTTTGTAGAAAATGCAACACCATGAAGGAATCATCAGAATCAAATGAAATTCGCAGCAAATGTCAATTATAGGATATTATGCAAATTAATAAAGTTTCAGAGCCATCGCGCGTGCGTGGCGCGCGCAGCGCCCTNAATTTCTTATTCTTCCGTCGTGGAGGCATACTCAGGTCTCACTAAACGTTTGCCACTAACAAATAATCATAGACTATTTTCAACGTCCCGCTACAGCACTTTATTTATACGCTTTCAGCATCAATTCAGAGGGCGCTGCGCGCGCCACGCACGCGCGATGGCTCTGAAACTTTATTAATTTGCATAATATCCTATAATTGACATTTGCTGCGAATTTCATTTGATTCTGATGATTCCTTCATGGTGTTGCATTTTCTACAAACAGCAGTTTATATATATATATATATATATATTTCGATTATCTGGGATTATTGAGCTATCCTAATTTCCCCAAGTTGCTTAACTTTCATTAGTAGTGTTATTTTAATAATTCAATATAATAGAAAGTTGTAAGAATATCCTATTTTTATTAGGATATCATACTTCCACTGGAAAAAGTAACTTGATTTTGAGGAATTATAGAAATTAGTCGAATTATTTTCACTTCATAAAGAAATTCATTTTTTAAAAACAGTTACTTTTTTTGGTGAAAATAATTAGAATTTGATAACCATAATGAGAAGCTCAAAAATGAGTTTTATGCATGCTCAGAAATGCTAAAAATATTTTAGCACTTTAAAAGAAGAGTAAATGGGCACGTGAAGTTTTGGACTGAGAGCTTAAAGTTTTAAAACTCCTTATAAATAATATTCCCCACTTTTTTAAAAACTCTTGGTTATAGAAATTTTCTTTAAAATTTGCATGATGTAAGCTATATATTTATGCATAAATTACTATGAAGAACATGCATGTAACAGCATGCACAATATTTATATGACAAAAATGATAAAGCCTTCCTATAAATGCATATTCAACATAGCCAAAAAAAAATAGCAATTTTTCATTTCACGTTTTGTTTGAAAATAAAACTTAACAGTTGTTGTCTGTTAATGATCTGAAACTCGTCTCACTTCCTAATGCTAACGTTTAATTACTAGTGTTAACGATTTCTTAACGTTAACGGTTAAATTACTTTTACAGTTTTAAAAAACACCAAAAGTAACTTCAGTTTTGTAGATGAAATAAGTGAATATATGCACTTAATGCATGCAAGTGAACATAGACATTTTGTACTAAACATGAAGTATTAGAAAAAGGTTTTTTATAGCTGGAAAGCAATGATTTTCGGAACGCCTTTTAAACAAAAGCCTCAGTTAATTAAAATGTATTTTTTTCACGGTCAGTATTTTTTTATTTTATTTATGTTCATTGATAATTGTATTAATACTGTTAAGGTGATACAGCGCCCCCTGGCAGAGCTCTCACGATTTTAATAAAACGATTTGAGCATTCGAAGAAGTTATGTGAGGTAATTAATTTCTACAACAACTGCTTAAATGCGTGAACCAAAGATGTTCAAAACACAGTTTATCTCAACACGAATCACGGTGAAGCATAAAGCACACACGTGATTATAAAATCACGTCGAATATGTCATAATATCACTATAATTTAACTTTACTTTGATTATCACTTTATAACGTGATTAACCTGAATTTAAATTATGATATAGCACAAAAACCAAAAACAAATGCGTTACCTCAAACTTGATCCATAATACGTGCTGATTTTGGAGTAAAGAATATTAATTTTCATTATTAATAAATGGCATTGTAAGATGATAATGATAAACATCAATTGCTCAAAATTTTGCTAATGGGAAATATTGTAGATTCGAATAATAAGATTGTAATTAAATAATAATTAGTTCTGATTATACTGGTTTTATTGTTTTTTGCTGTTTTAACCCCCTGCCTCTTTTAAAAATTCGTTAAAAAAATTCGCTTACTTCTTTTTAAAACTGATATTTTATAATTTTTTTCAGACCTCGGCTTAAATTATTCTCTTTCTGAAACATTCTGTTCAGAAATAACTGTTCCTTATATCGTAGAAAAAATCCTGTTTTATTTCTATGGATACTTAATGTATTAATATAAGATATCCATTAAGTATTAATACAGGGATTAATAATGTGACTTTTTTATTAATATTTCAAGAAAAACTTTTCAGTTATAAAAAAACTCATATATCAACAAGTAATATCTTTTATCAAATTAAAAAAAAAATCGAACAACTTTTATGTTCTCAATAAAACCAATTAGACTAAATACCTTTTTTTTCAATTTACATAAAAACTAAAATGTTTAATATGATAATGTCTGCCCACTATTTCCAAAAAACATCAAAAACATATATTTTTGTTTAAAAGCAAGGAAAAGTGAGGTTTTTGTACCATCTATTGACAATTAAATATAATTGCATAAAAAAGATATTAAGATAATTGATTTTTCATACCCTGCATTTGGTCGACAGAGTTTTGGTTCGTATTGACCGTCCAAAACATATTGATTAGCTGGAATAAAAAGGAGAAGAATCGTAAAAATGAAACGGTAACTGTTATATTATACTACATTTCAAAAATAAAATATTGATATACATTTCGGTGAATATTAGTTATTTTTATTTTAATTTAAAATTTTTAAAGGGTTTGCATGGATTGTTATAGATAAAAGAAAAGCATATTTTCAGATATACAATTAAATATTTACCGTACTGAATTTTTAAGTACATGAAAGAACAATATTTTTTAAACGTTTCATATAAAATGTTAAAAAATTTAGTTGCAGAAAGTTGATTTTTAAAATTTTCTTAGAAAAAGCATCCTCTCTTGGAATACGAACTCTTAAAATTTAATGCTCAAATTTATTGAAATTTTTTACACTTCTAAATAAAATTGAATAAATATCAAGAGAATTTATTGCTTAAAATGGATATTTGAATTTTTGGCACAGAAGTATGCAATAAAATAAAAAGAATTTCGGTAGTTTTTGGTCCTGTATATTGCTTTATAAGAAGATTGCTCAGGGAGAAAAAAAATCATGTGTTCAATACCTAGTCAATTTAGAATAGAAGTATTCGAAAGTATAGTAAGATCAGTGTATTACTTTTTAAAGAACCACGTCTTCAAGAATAACATTTTGAGTATCAGATGAGCATACGAAAAGTTTTTTAAGACTTTCTTTCTCTTATTTATTTTGATATCTCGGATTTATTCTGATAGCTTTAAATTGCTTAATTCTGCTATTCTCGACTATTCTATATTATTCTAATATTCTATATAATTGTGATAATCTATACTATTCTTTTCTGTTATTATATACCATTCTATTCTGCTATTCTATATCATTCTATTCTGATATTATTTTGATATTACCCATTGGCAAAATGAGTCTTGGTTTGGATTTCATGTCGTCCGCACTTTTCAAATGCAGAAATTAAGAGTAATAGTAAACAGTGCGCATGCGTTGCTATGGCGACTGCTGCTGTTTGACATTTTCTTAGAATTATTTTTTTCACTTTTAATTTTTTTATGCATTAAGTTGGTGAGTTTATTTTTGAGATATATGGGACCAGAGAGATATCATAAATACTGCTTGAGTTGTGAACAAGAGAGAATTTCATCATTTGAACGATATTTTTGTTTTTATTGTTTTACTTAAGAATCAGAAATTCTAACTTACAGTTAAACTATAAGGTTTTCAATACTAATTCAGGTTAATATCACAAATAAAGAGGATCCAAACTGATTGACAAGGTCCCAAAAGTTAGATTTGAAGCAGGAAAAAAAAACGATGCTAAGGCCTGAACTTACCGAGGCTGAAAAAGCCAAGTCAAAGAACGTAGACGGGAATACTTTAAACGTTGCACGCAAACGGAAAAACAAAAGAATTCCGTTCGCAAACACAAGCATGAAGCCCGTCCCTCACAAAAGTACCTAAGTAGTTGAGAGAATTGAACCCTACCGAAGAGCGAATGGTGACTCTCTGAAACCCTTTCATGCAAATACGGGAACTAGGTGTTGATCACCAATTAGGGATAAAAGGATCCATTGTCAGCGTACGCAATAACTTGCACAAGACCGTAGACTGTCTTCCACGCAATATAAATGATGCATTCACTATTCATGAAAATTTAAAAAAAAAGTCTAGCTTTCAAATCATATTTCATGTATGAACTTGTGAATATGAAACGGGTGTATGATGCAACTTACAATCTCCATCAAACACCATTGTACCAATCCGAAAATATTAATATTAATCTCGATTGGCTGTTCAATGTCTATTCAGTCATCAAAAGAATTTGCACAGGATGTGTCTGAGCTGCATTCAAATATGTCTGCGAAATTGTGTAACGAGCAGTTCAGGATTAACAGTTAAAACTGTCTAAGATGAAAACTAAATAAAGTTTTTTTTTTGCCAAAAAAATTAGACAATAGCCATTTTGCCAGTGGGTAACCTGTGATCGTCATCAAGTTTGACAGCCTTCATTTTGCAGTGAATCGTATTTGAAATTTTAAGTATGTTTAGTGTTTTTTTTTATATTAAAATTTAAATTTCTTTAAATTGGATTTTTTTTGTTTGAAATTTTTGAAACCAACATTATCTCTTAAAACTTTATAGTTATCCCCAAATCTACGTTCGTTTGTATTGTAATGATTTGTATAGAAATATATTTAAAATATTTGCCATTGTGTAAGATAAAATATGCAATTTTTCATTTTCTTTATATTTTTAGATTTTATAACAAAATAAGTTCTTTTTCTTAGAAAATAGGGATCATGTAAATGTTTACAAAAATTCTTGAATGAATGGATCCGGTTGTTAGCTAATCACAAAACTATTGAGAAATTTTGTCAAAAAACAGTCAATTTTTTTTGAGGAATTAAGATAGGTAAGGTTAATTAATTATGTTAAGTTAATTAATTAATTTTAAATACAAATATCAGTTTTTAAAAATCATTGAATTGTTAATACATATCCACAAAACAGACTAAATCATTTTCATATTTTATTTTTGTATTATTTCATTAAAATTCTAATTTATTAATCAAAATAATTAAGAAAACAATTCTTGGAAAATTATAGAGTAAATTAAGTTTATAAAATTAATTTCTTTATTAAGTTTTAAAAGTGCGAAAAAAAGAGAAAGGAAAACAAAATATAGTATTACTTACAGATATTATCTGCATAAACTTTAAACTCTGGTGTAGTAATTACTTCTTGAAGATTTTCTTCTTGCCACGGCGTGACTTTTATGCATTTATGCGTTAAAACACCCATATAAATTTGCAACCCTAATAAGGCAAATATTGACAGAGAAAAACATGTTAAGATAATCACATCTTTCAGATTCTTTACAGATTCAATAACAGCTCCTACGATGGTCTTTAAACCTATATGAGTGATAAAAGACAAAATGATTGAATTTATAAAATAATTGAAGAGAAATACTTACAGAAATATTGCAAAAAGAATATTCTATTTAATTTAAAAGTATATGACCAATTTGCTATACGTACATATTGCTTCTTCTATAACACCTATATTTTTAATTCAAATGAGTGAAATTTATAATATTTAAAAAAAAAATGCTTAAATTCCTCAAAATCAAAGAAACAATAAAAATGCAATTTTATAGTCAATATAGATTGCTACAACTTTAAGCAAACTGGTGAGATATAAATGAATACGTTATAAGTAGAAATTAATTAAAGAATATCAATCGGTAATTATTGTATTACTTCATTTAAATTCTAATTTATTAATCAAAACAATTAAGAAAACAATTCTTAAAAAATTATATATTCAATTAAGTTTATAAAATTAATTTTCTTTATTAAGTTTTGAAAGTGTGAAAAAAAGAGAAAGGTAAACAAAATATAGTATTACTTAACCAGGTGAATTATAGTAGTAATAAAATAATTAACGGAAAACATAAAATATTTTTCTTTAAGCTGTTTTAGACATATGGTTCTGATATTTGCTTAAACTTCATAATCAGACATCAAAACCAAGTCTAATCACGGTCAGAAATTTGCAGCAAAATTACAATACTTCTTAATAACCATGTTTTTATCTCTATTTCTGTGATTTAGGTTTATATTTTTGCATGAATATTTCTTCAGATTTAACCATATACCTATTTAAGTTCATACTACAAATTAAAAGTCTATCATTAAAAAAAATAATATGTTAAGCATTATTATAAGCTCATTTTTAAAGGAATGTTAGAGGGAAAAACGAAACCTCAATTTTTCATCTGTTATGAATCAATTTTCAAACATAGCATATTGCTTCCATTAACCTTTACAAAACATTTGTAGGTTTGGATTCTCGAAAAGCAATTACTGCGAAAAATTTTTTTTCAATATTAACTAAAAATTTAAACAAGGAATTTCAACTTGAAAAGAACAAATAATCTCTTTAAAGTGAAGTCTACTACTAGTATATCACTTAATTAAAATTGTGAAATTTTCGAAAGGTATAAAACACACTGCACAAAATAATTCTCAAATTTATAAATTCCATCTTTCAATCGCAGTCATTAATTCCTTATTAATTGATATTAAAATAATTTAAATTAATATATATAAATCAAAATAAATCAAAATAAAATGAATGATTATAAACACCTGGATGTATCTTCATTGTGTTCCTGTTTTATATTATAATTTTAAAGAAATTGTGTTAAATTTAAGATAGGACGGCTTTTTGAATCTTGTAGGGGGCTTACCCAAGTCGCTGTAAGCCAGTTGTGTACGCAGTTTGTTTTGGAAACTACTTCAAACTCTATATGTGTATTTATTCAAGGAAATTACGTCGAATAATTGCGAGATGGCAAAAATCAACTTATTTCAAGATGAGCAGTTTAAAAAAAGATGCAGAATACAGCTTAAGGATCGTCAAAAATTAAAATTTTATTTCAAAGAGTGTAGATTATTAGTATAATATAAATAGCGAACTGGATTTAAAACTCAATTTCATATTATCAATATACTAAACAGAATTGCTTTATATTCCATAAACGAAACAATTAAGTATTTCCTTTTCCTTTTAAATGCTTAAAAAAAAGAAGAGTTGGGCAAAACTATGGACAAAATTTAATTAATTTGCATTTAATAAAGCATAAATTGCGTATGAATTGTCTAAATAATCATATCAATTGTAAGAGGAAGTTACTGCGTCCACCTTTATTGAAAGTGGTTAGATGCAAAACAATCACGGCATTGACGCAACCGCTGCCCTTAGCTTATGTGATTAAAATGCGCTATAAGAAAGTGGTAAACAAAATTTTGGAGCTCCCTCGTTCCTTTTGGTATGTGGACTGTTCATATTCAATTTCCAAAGATTTCGTAAAAACACCAGTTAATTAAATTAGATCCCTTCTTTTGTATAATCCAGTATAAAGTACAGTAAAGAAATCTTTAAATTCCATAAACATATTTTTAAACTATAAATGAAAAGTTTTGCATATGGTAAAAATTTATATTAAATAAAAGTTGATAAGGGTATTTAACTAATTTAAACTTACCTGGAACAATAGCTACCGTTTTTAAGGCTCTAAATACGCGAAATGTTCTCAAGGCGCTGAGGTTTCCTAAATCTACTAACATTGTGGTATATCTGAAATAGGAAACTTAAGTTTAATAATTCAGAAAAATGTCATTCAAGTAATAAATAAAGAGTGTTTCAAAACCTGCGCAAGATTTGAATTTTGTGAAAGAATTTATTTTTCTAACAATAAAATGCTACCAACAGAATTTTTTCCCCAGAGTGATAGCTGGCACTTCAGCAACAGATAGTAGACGAAAAAACAACACGTTTTTATTGTTTAGTAATTATCGGAATATTGTTGAGCACTCCCTGAGTGTAAAATTTCCCTTTTTGGTCATCAGATTTGGCGTGCAAATCATAGAAATTATCACCATAGGACTTTTATCACGGATTTAGTTGTTATTTTATTTAGTTATTACTTTAATGCTTAGGAAGGAAATATTGCGCGATTCTAATAAGTCAATCTAACCACATACGCGTTTGAAGGAAGAAATATTGCATACTATATCGACGAAATTCAGACACATTTATGCAAAACTATCATTAAAAAAAAAAGATTGCCTCTGTACTTGAAAATCTGTGGAGGCCATTATCTCAACCTGCTGTTCTGTACAAAATCTGTACATTGTGTACTTGAGAACAATATAAAAAAAGTCAGAGTTTTAATTTAAAAACCTATGTTTTCAATCAAAATTAATTTTTACACAAATTTTGGGACACCCTATATTTATTAAACAATAACTGTCACTAAAAAAATAACAGTCAATTATATAAATTAGGTTGGCAATCGATAAAGCAAAAAAAGTTACCAACGATAGTTAATAGCTACACAGCAGATGATTAACTAAATGTTTAGATCTAAAGCAAGCACAACTAGTTAACTGAACGTAATGTAAAAAAAAAAAGTTCAAATTATAAATTGCCGTTTAAATTTCATGCAAGTTTGCCCAGCTAATTCACTAAGCGTTACATAAAAACATCTAATTAACTGAATATAAAATTAAACAAAAAAATAATAATAAATTTAAATAAATCATAGTTTATATCTCAATCATGTTAAAAATACGAAAATTTTAAATTATAAATTATACACAAGACACTATAAATTTATTTGTTGTCTAAACAATTTAGTTTTAAATGTAAAATAAATATTGCATTTTCAAAGTAGGATTTTACTTACGCTAAAGAAATAACTACAAAATCGAGCCAATTCCAAGGATCCCGAAGATATGTGAAGGATTCTAGAATGAATCCTCTAGCTAACATTTTGATGATGGACTCACAAGTATATATTAAAGTGAACCAAATTCTGAAAAGAAGGAAAACAAAAAGAACATGAAACTAATTGATTGGTATGATGGCGCGCTGAGAAAAAAGTATTGCTGTTAACTACCAGAATATGATAAAGTTTACTGTGTTTCTGGCACTATGGGAACCCCAGAAAGCTCAGTAATTTTTACCAATGAAGAAAAGTTAACAATAAAATATGGTTTTATAATAATTAACAAAATTTGGTATCTGTAGTAAGATTTGGTAATTTTATTATGATAGAGTAGTGGTTCTAAAAAGGTGATCCGTAGAACCCTAGGGTTCAACCCCCCAGAAAGCTCAGTAATTTTCACCAATGAGAAAAAGTTAACAATAAAATATGGTTTTATAATAATTGACAAAATTTGGTATCTGTGGTAAGATTTGGTAATTTTATTATGATAGAGTAGTGGTTCTGAAAAGGTGATCCGTGGAACCTTAGGGTTCAACTCCCCAGAAAGCTCAGTAATTTTTACCGATGAGGAAAAGTCAACAATAAAATATGGTCTTATAATAATTGACAAAATTTGGAATCTGTGGTAAGATTTGGTAATTTTATTATGATAGAGTAGTGGTTCTAAAAGGTGATCCGTGGAACCCTTGGGTTCTATGGAAGGAGTAAAAGAGTTCCGAGAGTTAAATTTTTTGAAAGCCAGTAAAAAATATATATTTGCATCCATTCCACAATCCACAATTTATTTAATACTTCGGTTGTATAAGAAGGTTGTATATAAGAACTTATTCATTTAAAATTCCAGAATATGTTTAAATTTACTGTCTTTCTGGCACTTTGGAAGCAACGGAAAACACGGTAACTTTTACCGAAGAGCTTTAATAATGATGTTTGGTTATATTAACAAAAAAATATTTTTTTAAAATATGCTATAGAATTTGATAGAAGTGGTGAAATTTTGAAATTTTATTATGATAATTTAGATTAGTGATTCTCAAAAAGTGTTTCATGGAGCCCTAGACTTCCATGGGAGGAAAACAAGAGTTCCGAGAGTTAAAAAATTTTTTTAGCTAGTAATAAATTTATTTACGTATCCAATCGATAATTCACAATTTAGTTAACATTTTGGTTGTTTTTATGAACTTATTCATTTAAATTTCCAGAATATGGTAAAATTTACAGTGTTCCTGGCACTATGCAGCAACATAAAGCTCGGTTGTTTTTATCAAGCGTTTTAATGATGTTTGGTAATTTAACAAAAGAAATGTAGTTTTATAATAAATGTGGTTAAATTCGGTAGTTTAATCATACCTTACAGCATGGCATTGAAATCTTATATTCAGTTAAATTAACTTTTTAGTTTTGTATTTAAACTAAATGTATGGTAATACGAACTGTAATTTTGAGACCCAGAGTTTCCGGTTAACCGTTTCTAAATGAACGGAAAAATTGCCAAATGAATGGTTTAAATATAGTTTATTTTGGCTTTATTAATCAGAGTCAAGTTTTTTTTCTTCTTACAGAAATGTCATTACCATAGAGTACGATAACTTTACCAGAAAATCTTTTCTCAGTAAAGTTTTATTTTTTGAAATTTGTATTAATTAACATATATGAATTTCAAAAGCTGAAATCAACGTTACATTTCATGCACACTTATTTTAATAGCGCAAAATATCGATATGCATCATTTCAACATATGCATCATTTTAACATATGCATCATTTTAACATATGATAACCAATTATTTTCAGTTTTGCACTGTCTTTTATTTTGCACGTGATAAAAAGATTTTAAAACTCAAAACAAAAAGGTAGCTATTATTAATTTTGCAAAAAGATTCATTTTGAAGTGCTAAAAATTGTATAGAATTTATAAAAAAAAAAGTAGTTGTAGTGCCACTGCTTGTTCGAAACATAATCTATTTTGCCTTGGTTACTAGTACATTTGCATCTAAATATTATGTTTTCAAAGTGAAACGTTTTTAATAGATGGTAGAAGAGCGAGGGATGCCACTTTTTTCTACATTAGTCGCTATCGGTTTTTTCGTGCAAATGGTTTCAAATGGATTCTAATCGTAATAAAATAAGTTTTGTTCTAATGCATACAAATAAAATGCATGCGAAAGAAATGAAAAAAAAAAACATTAGAATAATATTGCTATATCATTTTTGTGCATTTATATTGAATGTAAAACTTCATCCATAATCCTTGAGCAGTTTATAATTCTTTCATCGAGATAATTCGTACTTTTTCACAATTCGAAATAGAGCAATTGATTTTGCTATGCGCCTAAACTTATCATGCATTCATAAATATTAATCATGAAAATTCGTGGTTGAGTTTTTTTTGCCGTAGGGAGATTAAGACAAATTATGGATTCGATATAGTTCCATAATACTTTCTTTCTTTTTTTAAAAAAAAAAAAAAATTATTTCTTAAACATTTTACCATGAATTTTTTTTTACAAAAGAAATGTTTAAATGAAGCATATTTAATAACACTAAGCTGAGAATAATATCGACAGCAAGAAATACAATTCATTCATATTAATATAGAATCCTCAAACTTTTTTCGACCCAAAAGTCTACTTTTGCTCACTATTTATTCAGTGTTACTTAAAATGAGAAAAATCAGTAGATAATTAATAGTTAAGAAGAAACGTTATCCTTCCATAAAATGGAATGGGTATCGGTAACCCAGAGGTTACGGAATCTGACTCCAGTTGGGAGGAACTGGGGTTCGATCCTCGGCTCCACTGAAGGCCTGGTTTCTTAGGAAACGTCGGCGTCAGCTAGAAACGAACGTTTACCTCTGATTGGTTAATTTATGAGTTTGACAGCATACGTCATGGAACGCTCAGCTTGAACGACAACTGCCGTCCAAATCAACTGCAGATGGATTACAGCGTGACGTTAACAGCAGAAGCAATGGCGGACAACACCCAACAACAGAGCATTGGAATCAGCCAAGATTTTAATTTTAACATTAAACATAGCTTCTTTTTCCTCTTCTTCTTCATTTAGCTAAGCAAAGTCATCATTTGTTTTTTAAAGCATTGGTCGACAATCACAAAATCAATACAAATTGAAAATAAATATTTGTTTACGTTATTAACGCATGCGCAATGCAAGATAATGTCTGTGTTGGACCGACTGCTCAGGCTGAGCTAATAGAAAGGAATTTTTATGGCGTCAAAATTATATCAACTTAACGCTGATGCCCAGTTAAGACGCTTCTCCTAAGAAACCAGGCCTTGGGCTAACAAACCAGTATTTTGTTGGCGTCAGTGTAACGTCAACTTAACGCTGACGCCCAGATAAGGCGCTTGTCCTAAGAAACCAGGCCTTATTAGACCCATCCCATACGCGCTCGTGAAATCTGTGGAATCGAAAGTTCCGTGGCAGGTCGCTGAGCAGCATCATGGATACAGGGATCTGGGATACAAGGATACCCTTCAGATCAATGTCTAAATCATGGGAGTGACCTTAAGAATGAGTGGTGCTGCCATCTATCCGTGAGGTTTTGAGACAAAATGCGCTTTGATCCCTTACGGTACTCTCTTGACAAACGAAAGACCTTCCTGACTTAATTCTCAAAAGATAAATGACTGGTGAGCTTGCCTTGTGTCCTTAGAAACAGCGTAGAATCGTATAATAATAGAGTAATCTGCGATAAAATTGGTTAGTTTAATGCCTGTTCTCTAATTTTAATGCATAATTAATGCAAAAAAATGTTTTTTTTTATTTTCCAAGAAGAACTGATAGCCCTCTTTCGAAGATTTCGCAATTTAAGTTTCGAATAATCGAAATTTCTGTTCTGCATATATGGAGGAGTTCAATTTCTCCGACTTGTTTATCGCATTTAATATTTTGCCAATCTCTTTTATAATTTCATCTCTGAACAATGTGCATTCAAATTACGTTAAACAGCTATGAAAATAACTAAAAAGTAATTTAAGCAAAATATTTTGTTCTTAATGTTAGAACTCTTGGAAGAAAAAAATTTCATATCAAGATAGTATTAGGCAATACATTTATCACATGTTATCACTCTAATGATGAAATATATTTATATGAAAAAAAAATGAGTGACGTTGATTGAGGTTTGAAAATTTGAGTATTTATGTACTTACTCTGATGCTTCAATTGTAGGGTTACTAGGAAATGTCATGAGTATGCAATTAGTGAGGATCGTGGTAATGACAAAGAAGCTGAAGACAGGATGGACCAGTAAGTAAATAGCCACTCGACGGATTGGATTGAAAGGGCTCAACAGGTACAGGGCGTTGGTCGCACTAAACCTAAAGATGTCTTTTCCTTTACTAACAACTACGAATGTCTGAAATGCAAAAGAAAAGATAAAATAAAAGCTGGGTAATTTGATCGAAATAAATAAAATTGTAAAATATTTTAGACATTTAAAGTAATTTGCACTGATTATTGGTGGTTTCAGTATGTTTCAAATTTTAAGATTTAATGTCATTTTCTATTGTTAAATTTGGAATGCTGAAGAAGATAACATCAATGAATCTTTCATCAGGGTCAATATATAAATCGTTCTATACCAAGGGTCTTCAAATTGTCAAGTATATTTGATAAAAACAGAGAACAACGTTGTTGTCGTAGGACCATTAAACCACTGGGGGTGTGACTGCTCTTGTTTAACAGTGGCGCCATCTATGGCCAAGAATTCGATTTTTTCCACACCCATACGTGACACCAGTTTATAGGGTGGACCTATCTATCGTTCCCAGGAACGTGAGTTCAGCGCAGAAAACAATAGTATCGGTAAACGTTTTGCCTAATTACTTAAAGCCTCTAATTCCAAATATAGTTTAATGTCTACAATTTATTTTAGAGTGACCATACATGATAGGAAGACACGTAATTTAAATATATTTGCTCTTTACATTATAATTTTTACGAAGTTAATTTAAATACTTTTAGCATTTCTTAAAACAAATTTGTGTTTCTTCTCTTTTAACTGAAGTTAAATTAGCCTGTCGGCAAATATATTTATTTATTATTAATGCACTTTTCTCACGTAATGAATTATGTTGATTGCATATATTCCCAGAGACAACTTTGTAGTTGTCTATAATACAGTTTTGTCAAATTTTGAGGTGCTGTTTTTATGATCGAAATTATCTTATCTATAGTTAAAAAGTAAACTTCGTGTTTAAAATAAACAAAAGAGCCAGTTTCTTTTTATAAGTAGATATTTAAAACATGATTGTATCAGTTCTTGATGAAGTAGCGCGTGAGGCCTCATTGCGGAAAAGAACACTTTTTCAAGCAGTTAGGCCATACATTAAGAGTAAGGCAACCGCAAAATTAAAAAAAAATAGTTCTAAACTTCAACATTCCATTATTTTTCAACGGAAGATAGAAGGGAAATGTTATTCCTGCAACCTCACTGCATCAGAATCAAAAATATTTACAAAACAGTCGTTAATTCAAAACAAATAGATATTTATTATTGGCGATTGAGCAAAAATGTTCCAGCCAAACTAAGGAGTATTAACAAGTTTAAAACAATTTGGCATAAGATAAAACTTAAAGAATGTTCCCCTTGGAAGAACTTTTCCATGAAAAACAAAGGAAAAGTTATTTATGAATTTATTTGTGTACTTCTTTAAGCTTTAGGTTGAAACCAATGCATTATGTTATAATCAAAACATTTCACTTTTCAAATTAAATTTTCTAATTGTCAAATTAAATGCAAGGTACAATTTTTCCATTAGAAGTGATGTATAATAATTAACTTTAAAACTTAAAATTGCTAAATTATTTTTAGACTCTTGCAGTAAAAATTAGTAGACAATTCACTTGTAACTCAATTTAGATGTCAAACTAAAATATTCAAAATAAAATTAGAATGTAAATAAATATTATAATTTAACTTCACATAAAATAAATACAAATAAATATAACTATTTACAAACATACAACAATATCTAAAGATTGAAGCTAACTAGATCTTTTTTTTTTATTTTTATCAAAATGCTTATTTTTATCTTGATGTCACTAGTTTTAAAACCAAACAAAATACTTAACACTTTTAAATTTCACATAATTAGATCCTAACTCACTCTTATTAATATTTATGCATCTTAATTTAAACAAATAACATAATTCAAGAACACTAGCACTTTCTTCTGCTAACATATTCGCTTAGCACCTATGTTTCATTTTCAAGAGTAATAATTTTAAACAATTTTTTTAAATTAAGCTTAACTGGTACAATTTCAAAACCTTCTATATATTTTTATTTTATATTTCCAGCTTAATTTAAAACTTCACTTCAAACTTTAATAGCAACTAATTTCTTTACGAGTTAGTTTTAAAAAATAAATAAATCATACATATGAATAAAGAAATAAGACTAATCTGTACAGAATATCACAACATAATATTTATACTTATATAAATTATCTTTAAAACAAGCAATAGAACTACAGAAATAAAAAAAATTATTATTTAAATAAAAATCATTTGAAGTGAAATAATCAACAAAACCTTTCTTCCAAATAATATTTAAACTATTTTAGTTTTCTAGTTTAATAACAACAAACCTAAGTTTTAATTATCGTTTTACTTTACTACTATCGTTTGTCGATTAAAGATTTTAAAGATTATATTTTCATTATTATTTTTACTTCTACTCTTAAAACGTTTGTCAAATTTGGGGCAATTGGGTATAATATGAAAAAAACACTACTTCCACTTCGAAAATTTTACTAGGAATAACATTTACCTTTTAGTTTAATTAATAAGCTGAGTTTTAAATATGTTTACTAAATTCATAAACTTAGATAAAACAACAAAATAAATTATTTCAAAAGGAACTAGACTAATACAATTCCAACCTGCCGAGTAGCGACTTATAACAACATACTTCATTTATTGTTTACTTGTTGCTAGAAATCAGGTTCGCAGAAAATGCTGTTTACTAGTTAAATTTAGTAGGAATAACACGACCTGTGACGTAGACTGTACTATACCCAATTGGAGAATTTCGAGATGACATGACTTCTGTGGGAGATTTTAATATTCTTTCACCAGTTTTTGGTACTATCTTTATGGAAGGTTTGGTTTTGGTTTCAGAATCAGGTCCCAAATTAAGAATGTACTTTTCTTTATCAAGTCCCAGTCTATAAGGGAATGTTTATCATATTTTACAATAGAATTTCTTTTCTTTTTCGAAATATGGTTTCTTTGCATTACTCTGCGAATTTTTTTTTTTAAAATTATCTTTTCCAATTCCTTTTTTTCCTTTTCCAAAATTTTCTAGATTTCCAATTCCAAGATTCCATTTCTCCAATTATCTCCAACTTTTTTTTCGTTATCACTACAATTCGTTTCCTAAACTTCCAGTGATTAATTTTCTGGCAAGTTTTACCAATTGTGCCAAGTACAGTGGATTTCCATTTCTTGAGCCAATGACTGAACTTTTCTTTCAATCTTACTTTATTAGCACTGTAATTTTTCTAATATCGCAAATATCTTTTGCACTTATACTTGTTCGCTTTGGTTCCATGATCAAAATTACATTTGGCTCTTAATGTTTTCATCTTAACCTTCATTCGCAAGAGCTTTAATTTTCCTTGAAATCGTTTGTGATTTAGTTTCAATCGTGTATGGATAAATTTATCGTCAATAATCTTTGGCGACTCTTTTAGTTTTACTCTTTGCATAATCCTAATTCTATCAAAGTATATTTTTTGTTTCCTTTTCGCATTAATTATTCGCCGTCTATTCATTTTCTTGACACTTCCATTCCTACCAAAGTTCTCTTCTTTATGAAGGAGTTTTATTTGTTTAGCGTTGAGTGGCATTTTCTTTCTTGCACAAAATTTTTCATTCCTACACGGCAAGTTAACCACTTTGGTTTCAATTTTATCTTTAGTACTGTGGTGTAACTACCACTACAGATATTAAATACCAAATCACTAGTATATAAGACATGTTAACTTGAATCTATCTAGAGGTACCTTTCGCTAGTTGAAGGTTGGCATAGTCTGTAATTAAAATCAGCGCAAATGGTGACCCGGGCGTGATAAGAACTTGCCAATATTCATAGATAGTCCACATTAAGCAGTTGATTTGCTTAAAAAAATACTGCTAAAAGAAAAAAAAAATCCGGTGAAGTAAATAAATTCTCCCGGTCAATAAACAAAAATGAAGAAAAAAAAAAAAAATGAGCGAAATGCTATAAAAAAAAATAAAAAAAATAAAAATGAGCAATTACGATATAAATAAATACATTGCATAAATCAACTAGCGGTATTCATTCATCGAATTCTATCACAGATAAAATTCTGGAAGGGGAGTAATGTGATGTAACTACCACTACAAATATTAAATACCAAATCACTAGTATATAAGACATGTTAACCTAATTCCATCGACAGGTACCTTTTGATAGATAAAGGTTGGCATAGTCTATAATTAAAATCACCTCAGTACTATTCAATACTATTTTACTCGAAAATCTTTTATGTTTCTCTGTAACTAATGCCTTAGCCCCACTTTGTTACCGACAATCTATGGCAAACTTTTGCTACCTTTATTAGAATCAATCTTCATCACTTCTTCCATAACTGATGATTCAGTACTAACATGAATTTTACTATATTTTACTTCCAAAATCCTTTCAGTTCTTACATTTTCTCCTTTCTGGCAAACTTTTTCATTTTCAACCAAAACTATTTCACAATTTTTCGTCCAAAAAGAATCTACATAAGATGCTCCTTCCTGGCACTTTGGCAGTGCTATTTCTTCTTCTACAGTTTCTACCCCAGAACGGACTCGATTTACTTGGCAATCATCCTTTTCTTCATTTTTTGTCGCAACTTTTACTTGAATAATTTGACATTCCTTTTCTTCTACCACCTTTACTATCTCTCTAGAAACTTCGTCAAACAATTCGTTTTTTGGTACTGCCCTTTCTATTTCCGTGTTTAATACGCATGGACTAACTTCCAACATCATATCTTTTTCTGCTCCTACTATTTGTTGTTGTTCCTTCCGATCCTCTATAAAAATATTCCTAACACTTTTCACTATGATTTCATCAAATTTTTCATATTCTGTACGAAAGTATGCTTCATTTCTTTTTATTTTATACTCTTCAAAACTTGGAGAAATCCAATTAGACACTTCTTTAAAAATATTTTCTTCCCAATCCATGATCATGTTCCTATTTACTTTAGTAATTGGTTCCATTTCTTCTGGTACAACTGTTGGCGAGACTATTGTTCTTTTGGAAGTCGATGGGCTTCTTTCAGAATTACTCTTGGCAACATTTCCAGACTTAGTGCCACTTAATATAACCAATATTAAGCCAACTTGACTCTGTGTCCTTCGAATTAACTGTTGTTTCAATAAAGGAATTTGGTACTTTTCGGGAAACATTTGGCGATATATCTTTATAGTCGGATTGGGGATTAATATAATTCCAACTTCTATTGTAATTCTCTTTTCCATAATCCCAATCTCGATGCCTACAGTGTTTCTTGAAATGTCCTATTTCACCACAATTGAAACGTTCAGATCTAAATTTCTTCACAATACTTAGTGAATTCCATTTCTCATTAAAATGTTCTAAAGGGCGATTGTTATTACACGGAATATCTTGTGGATCATACTGAAAATTGGAAATGAGATTTTCTTTATAGTAATCATAATCATCGTTATAAATTTCTGGCATTTCAGCAGGAATAAGCTGTAAAGTACACGAAAAACAAAGATCAAAATTCACTCTAAATCTCTTCGCTTTCCATTCAAAAATTTCGAAGTACCGTCGAATGCCACATTTTTTGGCGTAAATTTTAAGCATCTCATTCATTAATTTTACGGTCGATTCAGGAGGAGACACAATCTAGCTCAAAAGTTTACTTCTATCCAGTTTTTCATCATTCCTAGATTTAGATTCAAGTTTTTTGCAATATCTTCCTCTACAATCATTTGATAAAAAATGAATTTTTTTCTTAAACAAAATTAATCTATTAAAGAACCAACAACTCTGTTGTTCAAAAAAATGTCTTCCAGTTTTATCGTCTGCTTTTATTTTTTTTTTATTTATCTCTTTATGCGTTTATTTTATTTTATTCATGCTTTTGCAAGTCGTTATTTTTTAAATATTTTTACTTTAATTCATGCTTTTGCTAGCCAATTTTTTAAAAAATATTTTCAGACTTTATAGCATCTACATAAATAGATACTGAGAAGAAAGCACTTATATCTAAGAATTTAATGCGCTAATTGAGCACAATCTATTCACAATGATACTGAGAATTTTTAGAATAAAAAAAACATTAATCAATCAGATTTTATCGCTATGAATGTTATGAAATAGGCATTGAAATCGGTGTTGTGATTCAAATGTTTCTCTCATAGGATACTCGATAGTAAATTTTTTCATTGTGCCTTGACATTTACCACGGATATTTAGTTAGTAATTGAACGAAAATGAAATACTTTTAAATAAACCAACAAGAAAAAGTTAAGGCCTGTTTACACAGTCTATGTTCTTGAATCCGAAAAATTGGAGGAATTTCTCTCTCCAAGAAATTTGATGATTCGTCAACACTATCCAAGTTCTTGAATGTCACTGATTGGTCGAAAAAAAAACTTGCGCATGCGCATTGTTCATATTCAACATTACAAAATTATACTTACATCACTTTAAAATTACTGAATAAATTCAAACAAAATCATAATAACGCAAATAAACCATAACAGATTAATTTATTTGGACTAAAATATATGAAAACAGACAAAAAAATGACATTATCTGATGCCTGCTTGTTGACGTCACAAAACTTAAGAAACTGATTGGTTAAGGGAGGAAAAAATTGGATGGAAAGTGGAACATGCTATACTATCGTCTAAGGACTTGGACCAAGTACTTGGATGATCGTTTACATGATCCAGGCTCAAAGCAAAACAAGATTCCATCAATTTCAATCAATGTTCGTCCAAGAACTTGGATCGTTTAAACAGGCCTTTTTTCTTTTTTTTGTCGTATGCCTGTTTAGGCAGTGGAGGGGCGATTGTTCCTGTTTTTCAGTGGCGCCATCTATGACCAGGAATTCGACTTCTGCCACGCCATTCACACAACCACAACCCGTTTATAGGGCGGGTCACATTCACACACAAAGGAGAAAGGACATAGAACACAGAGAGAGAGAAATCCATGCCTTGCGCGGGATTCGAACCCAGGATATTTCTGATGCAAGGACAATTCCCTGCCCCTACACAGGCCGATCGGTTAAACAGGCCTTAATATGCTGAACGAAATACAAATAAATTTAATTAATGATAATAATGTAATTAATGATTAAAAAATGCTGACCCTCTGATTTTCGTAGAACTTGTCAATGTCTTCAAGGGGCGTGGCCGTGACCTCCGGCGTGAGCACGTTGAGCAGGTATTTAGGCAAAGGCATACCGGCTTCCAGGTTGGGATCAGCCTCCAGTCCCTCATCATCCATGCCTTGATGATGAACTGGCTCGGCGTGGTCCTCTCCATCTTCTCCTTTATTCGCATGCTCTTTGCGTGCTTTTTCTTCAGCTATTCGGGCCTCGATGGCCGCGAGAGACTCTCTTGTGAAGGGACGGAATATAGGAACCACCTCTTCGTCGGACTGGTCGTCGGCGGACATCACAGATCACCTATTATATATACAAGAAACAAAATTTCAGTATTTTTAAGTAATGTTGTTTTAACAAACAAACTCTGTTATTTTAACAAGCAAACTCTGCTATTTTAACAAACAAACTCTGTTAATTTTAACAAACAAACTCTGTTATTTTAACACGTGTTTGCTGTGGCATACCGGTGGTAGGACTTAAGTCCATGCTGGAACAATACTACTTTAATGTCATAGTATGAAGGAAATTCTGAAACTATTTTTATCTTTCAAGTCTTACTTTTTGAAATAATGTTTAAGCGTAAAATATTTTAAAACTATAGTGGTCTATCCGTATGAAAATGCCTGGCAACTTGACTTAGTAATAAAATTGCATCTAAAGAACTTAATTAATTAGGTTTACAACTAATTTGACAATGAAATAGATCCCCAAATTTATTTATGCAATGTTCAAAACCATAAAATAATTGCTGAAAAATAACTGCAAGTCCAGAAAATGATTCTAGAATGATTATAAAAAAATTAGTGTTACTGTACCATAGGCAAAACTGCATAGCAAAAACTAGAATTAAAACGGACTCTTTTTATCCATTTATGATTAGGTAGAAAAAACTGAGAAAAACCCAAAACAGCCATATACGTCAAATATACAAATAAAGTATGTAAAAAGAATGCTAATTTCTTATCACTATGTACTTGACAATAAAGAATAACCATCCCAAACCGTAATCTGAACCTTTTTTTTTAATTTTTAACTCCCATTATAAATAAGGAAGTTTTCATGAAACATTTGACTTTCTTTTATCTTTTTTCTTATTTTTATTACATGAAACGAATAAGTGCTATGATTCCGCTTCGGGGGCAGTAAAAAAGCCACCAAACTTTAATCGACAACAGTGAGGCTTATAATCGTGGTAAGAGGTGCCACTGGCATTGTGTACTAAGTATTTTGACATTCGTTACTTAATATGCTGATATTGGTACAGTTATAATATGTATTTAACGACCTTCAGAAAAGGAATAGCACCACATTGAAAGAGATTGAAAAAAATAACTGTGTTTCGAATTATCCCATTGGTTGGAATAAATCTAGGCTAAAATAATGTGCAATACTAATAAAGTACAATTAATGGAAACATATATTACTAGGAGGCTTCGCCCCCTGCTCGCTGATGCTCGCCAACCCCCGGAGCTGCTTTCGCAGTTCATTTCGGATTGCTTCGCAATCCGATGCTCGCTTTGCTCGCTCATTGGATACGTTCTTAACGTCTAGCTTTTGTATACTTTTTTGAACACTGAAGTTCCGAAAACTTTTCACTGTAGAAAATTCTAAACCTGTGCATTTCAATATTAATTTGAAATTGCAAACAGTTCACATATTTTTCTTAATCACACTATTCTAAATTTCAGTTGTTGAGAAAAGTAACTGTTGTAAGTTTTGTTTTAAAGTCTTTCCCACCAGAGGGCTAAAACCATGTGTTGTAAAACAATATGAAATAGTACTGAACGCCGGATGTAAAGCATCGGCTTCGATGAAGATAATTTTGTGAGAATTTTTTTGATAATTCGGTGAGAATTCACCCGATTAGACATATGATGCTCACTACGTGCTCTTGCGCGCCGAAGCCTATCAATTAAAACGTATTAGCGTTTTATATAATATAGATTAGCCATATGATGCTCACTACGTGCTCTTGCGCGCCGAAGCCTATCAATTAAAAATGAAAACTGTTGCCAGCGCGAGGAAAGAAATATCATCGGTTTTATTGATACATACGTACTTATTAGCGTTTTATATAATATAGATTACATTAAACTAATAGGTTGGTCAAATCACATATTGAGATTAAAAACAAAGGAACTTAAAAGTTTGAAAGTAAAAAATCAGCAACTATGCTCCATTGCAAATTTAAAAAAGGCCTTTGCGGTATAGGGTTTAAGTAATCATTCGCGACTACCTATACTTCCGTTTTATTTCGCCATCAAATTATATAAACATGGTTTAAAAACAATATAAAAGCTTTTAATAGTTAAACACTTCAGATAGAAAGTTAATTCGTGCTATATCTTACGATATATATCATTGAATTATTAAAAAAAGGCTACAGTTTCGTAGTTTTACAGGAATCCAAGACTTAGCAACATATTTTGATAAATAAGGAGAGCGTTCGTTCTTGAATAAGAAACAACTATATGATGTTGCAAGAACATTGGATTTGATTGTACCACTAAAAATGGCGCGTCCTTTGCTGAAATGCTCTCAACAAATCAAATACGAGTTAAACAATTTTTTCCTTCGCTTCATCGTAGAAGGAAATCGTCATCAAAAAACAATATTTATAATTCTTTCATCAGTTTCTTGAAACGCGAATAAAAAGACGCATATTTGTTACGATTTTTAGATATTATTTTTATTAATTCTTACTGCATGTTAATTGATTATTGTTGTTATTAAGATGTAAGAAAACAAATAAAAAGGAAGCTGTGCAACGTCGTTTTAAGAGTTAGCGTTGTCATACGTTCGCGCTGAGAGCTTGACATCCATTTGGCATGCACATAGATGCAAACAGGATCTCTCCATAGGGGAAATGGTGTTTTCTTAACTTGAAACAGAATATAGAAACTTCGGTTTATTTCTGAAAGTAATTTTTAGTGCGTAAGTAGTGAGTTTGTTATGTGTTGATTTAAATTTCAAATATTTTTTTTAATCGTTAATTGGTCTCTAAGGGGCTTCAAGGAGTACCGATTTCATAATTTATAAATAATATCATACGAAGTTTCAACAATGGTAAAAAAATAAAATAGCATGACGCAGATTTGCATATATTTGCCTGTACTTATCCCAAATATATAAATGTTATGCCCATAGTAATTATAGGTTTGCACTAATGAAAATAATTAGAACGAAAATTAATTTGAAATTCGAGAAACGTAACAAAATGTAAGATGTTTTATATGAATTCGGTGACTTATTTGTTGTCTAGTAAATTTTAATTAAGTTAAAATTAACCAAGTTAATTCAATTTTATATGGATTTTATATTTTATCTCACAAATAAAATATACTTGTATTTTAAAAATTAAGCTATCAGATTACCAAATTAAAAAAAAAAATTTAAGTAATTTAATGACCTTGGATAATGACTTTTTAATATCATCCTGACGGAATGAAAAATTATAAGTTAATAATCATTGATAGGGATTCAGCTCAATGATTTATTTATATCTATAAAATTATTAAATCTATAAATTTTAGAAGATCAAATACGGAACTCTACAAAGCATATAAAGAACCTGATGTCATTAAATTTATCAAAATTCAAAGGATTAAATGGGCAGGCCACATTATAAGAATGGAGGATAGCAGGACAACCAAAAAAGTTTTCTGTGCCAGGCCAACAGGTACAAGAAAAAGAGGACGACCAAACCTAAGATTTTTAGACTGCCTTGAAAAGGACCTACAAATTTTAAAGATAATTAACTGGAGAACCTTGGCTAAGGGAAGAATGTCTTGGCATAGGCTTGTTGAGAAGGCCAAGGCCCATCCTGGGCTGTCGTGCCAATGAGAAGAAGAAGAAGAAGAAAATTATTATAAATTTTTATTTTAATTGTTATTAAAATTATTACTAATTTTTATTTAATATCTGTAAAATTACCATTAATTTCTTTATGATTATTATTGAAACCTGACGCCCTGTGGCTGAGGGTAGCACTTCGCGCTTTCGTGCTACAAGTCCTGGAATCGATCCTCGAGCCGCGCAAGATTGACTCAGCCTTTCATCCCTTCAGAGGGTTTAGAAAATGATGAGTACCAAGCATGCTTGGGGACTAAACACTGGGTGTTTCGTGTTAGGCTGACCACCAAACCGGAACATCTGCCATCCAGAGCCCAAGGTCAAGAAAACCGGGATGGGCTGTCGTGCCACTAATTACTGATGTGTGAAAGGAAAAAATCAATAATAAATAAAATAAATGAATAGTAAATTTTTTTTTCCGGATTCAAAACATAATTGACTTTAAAATATAATTTAATAACATTGGTTCTTAGATATATTTTCCTTAAATCATGCTTTATTAAATACTTAAACCTAGTTAATTTGTAGAAAAAACGGGCGTAATCACAAAAGTTTCTCTTAATTGCAATTTAAGTCAATTTATTATTATTAACAACAAATGTCTTTCTACTTAATAAAATTAAAAATAGATGGCAGCACTACATTTTATGTAAGGGGCTTGAACGAGAAAAGCATAGAATTCTACTTATAAATATTTGATTTGATTGTAAATATAAATCTCATTTATGAAACTGATCTTAATTTATAAAAATTAAGTTTAATTTTCTACAACTAAGAATAGTAAAAGATAGCCAATATAAAATGAATAAATGTGTGGGCAATAATTTAATGACGCAAAATCAAACGCCATGAAGTCATAGATTGATTATTATTTTGCTGTGAATGTGTTTCAGACGGTCGTAATTTCTCAGATGGTAATTAAATTAAAAATATTTTATTTTAATTCAAATTGGCTTCTACAAATAAAAAAGTGAATAAATGATCAATGACATCGCAAATTCTGGTGTAATTGTAAAAATACTTCTTCAATTAAGGTGGCTACTTTGATCCAGTGTTCTCGCAATTTAACAGGTTAACAGGCATCTTATTTTCTTCCCTCTTAACTCATAAAATTTTGTTATTCCTTTAATTTAATTTCTCTCCTTATATACACAGTTTCCTCATACATATTCTTCTTTTCGGTATGCCTGAAATTCCAACATCTTTTTTCACCCATGGCACCTGACATGGTGTTTTTCTTTCATTTTGCATTTTATAACCTCGTTGAACAGCTGACCCAAATTAGGGTTTACGCCTACTGAAGTTCAACTCCGTAGCCTTGTAATTTTGAACCTAATCCAGAACACAATGAGAACTCCTGGATCAAGTATTGGTTAGAGATTTGTCTTCGTGGAGGACTTTTTGATGGAACTAACCAGTCCTAGGTAGCAAAATGATGTTTTCTAGCA